ATACCGATTCGTTTCGGTTACAATATTGTTCCAAAATATGTCATTATATATTAGATTAAATATATCAAATTCTTCTCTATTTCCTCCTAATTGACATAAGGCTTCCTCTCTTATGACAGGAGTCATCATTATAGTCCCAGATTTTTGGACTATTTCTTATTTCTTTCCAAAGCGAGGACTATGGTAGTTGATCGTTATCGGATGTATCATCAATAATTATTCACCTATACTTTCTTCGAAAATTACATAATTTGTCATGTTTATGATTGCCTGGATTAGCGTGTTACACAAGTCGTGCAAATGCCCCGAACGCTGCACGAGCTTGTATACAATTTCGGCCCAACATCTTCGAATCTAAATCGTAGGTTAAGGGGATGAGAAAATCACTTTTTGGAGAAATTTTATTGTATTCTCTTTATATTTTAATTTAGATGTGTGATACTTGAAGGGTAGAGATATTAGCTATATTTGCATTGAATTATATGTAGAGTGCAATTGGCATATGTATAAAAACTTATTGAAAAGATTGTAACAATTGTACTTTTACCGAATATTAAGGCTTGAACAAAAGAATAACTACAGAAATCACGCTTCAAATGTCACGCTCATAACGTTCACTTTGAATATAATCACAAATTTTCTAAGCCTTACAAACTGCAAAGCATGCAAGCATTGAAGCCTAGTGACAAGTTGCATGTCTAAACTACCGGTTTTTCATGGATGAAGCTATGCAAAATGAACATTTTTTAAATCAGATTGCACTTAAGGATGAGGCCATCTTTCTTCTAAGTGGCAGAGTAAAGTGCCATAACGTGCGAATTTGGGGGATCAGAAAATCCCCATGCCTGTACTGAACACAAAAGGGACTCCTCATAAATAAACGTCTTTTGCGCAGCATCTTCATCACAGGTTTAAAGTAGTATTACCTACATCAATATGTTAGAAATTTGGCTTTTCCCTCAGTTGAAGGAAGATATGCAAAATTTCATTTTTGAATAAATTGGTGCACCGCTCCATTGGCATTTGGAGGTTTGTAAATTTCTAAACACAGAACTACCACACCATTAGATTGGTTGCAATAACATCAATGATTTGGCCCTTCATAGCTACCCTCCTAGGTCACCTGATTTAACCCCATATACTTCTTCTGTCTCAAAGATGTAGTGTTCATATTACCTTCGTAATACCATTCATACCTAAAAAAAATGCCCAACCTTTTTTTTTTTTTTTTTTTAAATAGCCAAGCGCTTTATTCAATAGGTATTTAGCCTTGTGCCACTGCAAGGGCAAGAAGTGGTGGCCATTTCATTATGGAAGCACTTAATAGGTGGCCACTGTTGCCTCCGATGAAAGGATGGACATTTACAACCATGCCTTCATGCCTTCTATGGAATTCAAATCCGGGCCCTATAGCAGTCAGTGTCACAAACCACTTAAGAATTAATTTTTCCTTCTTTTCTTTCCTTTCCATTCCCCCTTTTTTTTTAATCATCTGGGAGCCAAGTTATTATTTACAAAACATTTGCTTCTGTGGATAATAGTCAAATAGTGTACATATTACAATGAATTTCTCAACTGCAATTTTGTGATTGCTTTGAGGATAACTGCGACACAGTGTGCAAATTCCTAATGACACACATAATGAGGTGTTCAAACTGTTAAGGACACGAAGTTATGATGTATCGAAGTGGACAAGTAGTATTTATGTGAACAATGAACTTAACAAAAGTGTACTTCAAATTTATCAAAAATTAACTTAGAACCCAGTTTATATGAACATCATATACTTTAGGCTATGGAGCTATCAACTGCCTGAACTGATGTGACTGGCCTATTCTGTGGATAACTGCAACAATACAGACACACAGTCATTAGGTGCCTAACTCATAAGAACATGAAGTTATGACGTATTGAAGAAGGACATAGGTTTAAAAACTGGTTAATACAGTCAAAAGTCGTTAATTCGGACACCCATAATCCGGACCTCAAAGCTAAAATCTTTCTGCGCATGCGCCGCATTGACGCATGCGCATAGGCGTTTTACTCGTGTGCCCAAGACATTTACGACTGCGCATATGCGTCTGCGCAAGTGCAGAATACGTTTTCGCGTGTGCGTTTAACGTATAACGGATGGTATAAGCTAAAATTATCTAATTATCTATTTCAGTTAATGTTGATGATTGCGTTGTTCCTTAATCTTCGAATTGGATGCGACTTATTATTTTTTGCAGACTGTAAGAGCAATTTTCTAAAGTAAGCTTGAACTTTGATTATGTCAAATAGAATTTCCGATGCTGGAGCTCCCAAAGGATCTAGAAAACGAAAGTATGTTCGATGTCCATCAAACAAAAAAACGAATTGCTACAAAAAATGGATAAAGGCATATTCTTTGTTTATCTAACCGTTCTGAAATCTGTTTATCGATTCCACGCTGCTCTGCGCGGGGGGGGGGGGGGGGGGGGGCGTCCCGGCGTGCAATGAACTGGAAGTTGATTTGTCAACACTATCGTTATCTTCAGATGTTTTTATTTGATTCGGCTTATAATTCCTTACTAAATGTAGTATTTAATTTCGATGTACTCCGTCTTTCATATGATTTAAATCAAGTTTCTCGTCATTATAAATACCACGAATACAAATCAAATAGTTTTCTGGTTGCAATTTTCTAATTTCGGCTATGCGTAAGGTATGCTTTACGCATCTGCGCGTTGAAAGAAATGTTTAATAAAGTAAACAAATAAATATTAGGCTTCTTTTCTGGTAAATTTTGATACCCTTTAGATCATTAATTGCTCATTATTTTATAAATTACGGTTTCATATTTTTAATTTTATAATTTCTGCATGCCATCTTACCAGATTTAAACTGATGATCTATAATCCGGAAAAATCGATAATCCGGAATCGCCGAAGTCCCGACGAGTCCGGATTAAAGACTTTTGACTGTATATAAGTTCCGCTCTCCACAATATAGATCCTATCCATGACAATGTAATGATTAATTGATTGTATATTTATTTTCATATGGATTATTATGTATTGTATAGTTGACATTGTCAATTTAGCATTGTAATATTACTATCATTGACTCAGTGAATGTCACAGGCGGTGGATGGTAGATTCTTTTCCGTCACATGGACATAACTCTGATTGCTGTAGAGCCTTAGGTTCGAGGTCTATGCGACTGCGTTTCGGTTACTAACCACTATATCAGCAGGGTAGTTGTTTGCCTAAACCTATGCATTGTTAGCATTTGTGATGCTTTACAAACAGTTCATAGTGAAACATTAGAATGTTTTTGGCAAGAAATGGCATATCACATTGATATTATACAGGTGACAAAAGGAATTCATATCGAACAATTTTGATAAAAAGTTTCAACAATTTTTCTTTACAATGACATATTATTTATAATTTTCTATTTGTAATTATGGAAAATATTGAATGTTTTAATCAGATGATTCTTTACTGATAATCCTGTATTTTTATTAGCTTATTGTGAAAAATTAATAACTGATCTTTCAAGTTGTATTTCTATAGTTTATTTTATTACATTTTTGGGTGAACCCAAAATAAATTATTTTGACAATGACAGCAGTGATTATGGAAAATAACAAGATATTGCTGCCAGGACCGTAGCGTAGGATCTTGTGCCCTTTTAAAATGCCTCATACTGAGTTAAAATATCAACTTGTATAGTTTGACCGTCTCAAGCGCAACCCTGGTTAGCATTCTGCCAAAACACATAGACTCTTCTGAAATGGAAGGTATTACTTGCTGCGACGTGAAAGGTATTCTCTTCTCCAGAAAGAGCTATGCTGGAGGGAAAGAACTACATCTAGGAATTTTATGATGTGTAATACATACAAAATGGCAAGTTATGGAAAACAAGTTTGCCATTCACAGCAGCATGGGTGAAAAATTTGAACTTTTCAAATTTCTTGATCTGCTAAGTAGTCAATGTAATGGCTGCACTTGATGTATTAATGTAACTTTTTAAATAATATTTAACATACAAATGCTTTACTTAGTTCTTAAATTACGTCATTCAAAAACATTCCACTCATATCTTGTTTTCCATAGTAAATTACTGACTTGACTAAAGCCTGCTTCTAGTATGTAAAATGAAGGAATAAATCAATAATACTAGTTTGGTAACACTTTTTATTCGGGATATTTCTCTCAGATTATTTTTAAATTCCAAAACTTAGCATACATATATGTTTTGAATAAGACTTATGCTTGAACATTGTCTTTCAAAGCAATCAACTCTTTTTGCATCATAATATCAAGATCAAATATATCACATTTCAACAATTTGGTGAGCACATTCAAATTTTAATTGTCTTGGATGTAAACCTTAAAATCCTTTAAATTTTGCAAGTTGTTTTTACATAATAGTTATATCATCTAAGGAAGTTTTGAGTTCTTCATTTTTTTTAACTGCATTTTCAAATGATCCTTCTTGCTTTTTACTTTTCTAATATTGTACTTACTGCACAAAAATAAAAATATATTAAATATTTTTTGCATATTTTCCCATATATTTATTTCATGATTTCTTCTTTACTACATGATATAGCTTTATGCCAATAATCAATTAATTACTAATTTTATGTAATTTTTTGTATTTTTATTAATTTTTCTTGATTATGCTGATTAATTGCCAACGTTTTATTATTATTTTAAGGGCACAGCACCAATCCTCCTAATCAGCACAAGCCAACCGTATAATCAAGAAATAGGGCTGGCCAGAAGGAAACAAATATAAGAAAAAACAAAAAAGTCCAAAATCTGAATCTCAGTGCTGAATTCCAATTCTACCTTTGTTTGTATTTATCATTTTCATTATTGTCTCTGCAAAATCTTTCAAATTTGAATAGTTCTTTTTAAAATCTTCCTTAAAATTCTTTCTATATTTCTCTCTTGCACTCCAGGTAAGCGTACATTCATCAACAAAGTGCCTAGTGTCCCCAAAATTAAGCATTTATCATTATTCTGTAGATGGAAAAGATTAAAATATGGCGGGAAACACCCATGATTAGTCAGTACCTGATTTATATCAACATTATTTACAATATTCATCTTCTTGTTTAACTTTATATTTTTCATTAACTTTTTTCTTATTAGACAACTCCCAGCAAGAATTCCATTCTGTATAAATTCAGTTTTCCATTTCAGCAATAGTCTTTTTTCTTGAATCGTGGATATCAAAATTATCGGTCCCATCTCCATGTGCCATCATTTTAGCAATGGTGTCCACCCTTTCATTTCAGACAATTCCACTGTGTACTTTCACTCAGTGTTATTTAACAATATGTTTGCCCATGTATATTTTGCTATCAACTGTTTGATCATCATAGAGTCCCTACAAAATTTCGAACCCCAGGGAATCAATTAGAAACAACAACTTTCTCATTTGAATAGAATCTCATCCTATGTAACTGCCTTTTCAAAATTGAAATTACTCAGAAATCACATCACTTAGCCTATGCTATATGCAGAACATTCTAGCGTTGAATGACTGGTTTCAGACAATGCTGCAGTAGCAGTAGTTTAAATCAATGAGTCAAAGGAAAATGTTTCTTGAGGAAATTCAGTTTTTTTCTTCCTCATGACTCAACATAACTGATTTTCAAGATCTTTATATAATAGTCAGTTTTCACTGTCTACTTGCACGTATGCAATGTTGATACCCATAATCACAACAGATAAGCTGACAGAACACACTTTGTTGATCACTCACATGCTACTGCCTTTTAATATCTTTAATAGTGAAGTATTGGAGTATACAAAATTAAACCATACAGAAATAGCCACCTTTGTCATACAGTAATAGAGATGTCTTTTTCAACTACCATGAAAAGAAAAACATACAAGGTACTTCCTCTCATTAAATCAAATATTGAATTTAATGGTTGCCCAGCTATAGGTTCAAACAAAACCTTCACAAAACTTAGTACATTGTTGCCACGTCTAATGTCAGGAAAGAGAAATACAGGTAGTCTCAAAACTTTCCAATTAGTCCTTTTATTTAAGTTATTATGTCAAAATATTAGCTAATACCTTACAAACTATGCCTTATTCTTGTTTGTTGTATTATTATTAAACTTGCACACATTTTTAATAAGATAAACAATGTCTATTGCTTTAGTACAGTTTAAATGAAAATTCACATAATTCTAACATAGTCAGGTGGTATTTCAAATAAATTCATCAGCCTACTGTCAGATGAATAATTCCACTGAAGAAAAATGGCATTTAGAATTTTTAGCCCATTTTGATGTAAAAATAAAATATATTAATTCTAAAAAGGCACACAAACATACAGAAAATGGTATACCTAATGACATTTCAATATTATAATTAAAAAATTTCCTCGTCTTAAATAAAATTAGGGTTGAACATTAATTGAAGCTATTATATTAAAATGAGAAATACAATTATATATTAAAAATACAATGTATAATTTAATATTTATAAACACTACTCAGATTTATCAGATATGGCAGGGAAATTGATTATGAAAATTTGTGGTCCATAATCACATACTACTGACTGACCAGACAGTTTCAGTAAGCGTATGTGAATAGAGTGATCACCACTGCCAACCATGATCATTCGAAGAGCTTCACCATGATTTACATCCCATAAAACAAGGTTATCCTGCAAGGGAATAAAGGTACCATTTAAGAAAATTCATATTGCATATAAAATATATTTAAAAATAATATAAGGTAAATGTTATTCAGTATTCTGATGGCATCAGTATTAAAATAAATTATCAATATTTAATGAAAAAGATTATTCATTTTGAAAACTGAAATATAATTTCTTATGTCCCTCCCCATTTTTATAACTCTCTTTTTTTTTTCCACTCTTCAACAACAACAAAATTTCCAGTAAGCTTTTTATTTTTATGAGTGTTCAAGGACTTTACTCAATAATCTCTGTAATTCATGCTTGGAGCAGAAATTAAAATGCTTTTGAAACTTAAATGCTTGGAGCAGAAGACTAAAAATCCACATTCCCCATCAATAAATATCAGCTGAATCTGTGAAAAAGGTTACAGAAATGGTCTGTATGTAATTTACTACTCATGCACATGTGTGACTTAACACACATTGAGCCCAATGCCAAACCAATGGCCGGCGTTTAACTGGGACCAGCACTGGAATTTTCAGTTGGCTGGCGTCAGTCCTCAGGACCGACAGTATTAACATTCACAACCACAAGCTTTGTCACGTACAGAAAAGACTTGTATGTCAGTAGCCGACACAGCTCACTAACAGATAAGCTCTACTCAGTGCATGAAGTGACAATTGGTCGATGTGACAATTTGATCGACAATATGAGAGTCGACGATTCCACTCTCATATTGCTTTCCAGTAATTTCGAGAACCAGAAAGTACTAGAAATATCTTGGCGGCCAGTTAAAAACTATTTAAGGCTGAAGGGAAAGTATTTGCTCTCAGTTACTTAATTATTGCTGTTGCGAGATATTAGTTCCGCATGAACTGAGATAATCCGAATTACCTTTATCTCTACGTGCACTTTGCATTGCATTGTGTTTAAGATTCTTATTAGTTTGCTGTGTGACTACTGACTGTATCGTGTGATACTGTGAGCTGTTGTATAAATATTTCTATGGAAAATTCTAGAGTTCTGAAATATTTCTTTTGATAAAATAAATTTTATTAACTTATTATCAGACTTATGCATTCATGTGAACCTGTATGCACACAACAATGTTGCAACAACTGAAAAGAAATGAAAATAAGAAACCCCATATATTTTAAGAAACAAAAATATAGGTGAGTATTTGATAAGAGTGTTGCTCTGATTAGAATGAAAGACTAGCTACTTAATTAATTATAATATTTTACTATGGTACAAGAAGAAAAATTAAGAAATATTATTACTTATTTTTCAGACATGAAAGTAATTAGTGTAGTGAATGTAGGTGTAAACTGAAATCACCCAATTACATAAAGATATTATGGTGATTGACAGCACGCAGTTTATACATATATAGTAATTACCTATGTAGTCTAATTATCATTTAAATGGTGTAATTATTCTACACAGTATGATAATTAAATTTCTTGTGCTTCTTCTAGAATTTTACATGTTAAAATACCAATTATAAGACTACCAAATGTTAGAAGAAAAATATACCCCTTACCCCAAAAAAGGCATGTGGAAAAGTGCATAAGTATCCAATATGGAGGCTTAGTGTAACAGAAGAAAGGTTTGAGTTTGGATATTTTAAGTTCCAAGCTGTTCCATCATCACTGTTTCATAAAGGATGAAATTACAATTAGAAGGTTCCTTACTTCCTTATATATTTCATGATTGTGGCTCAATTTCTTCTGGGTGCATATATTATCTTAAAAACATATATGCACCCAGAAGAAATTGAGCCACAATCACGAAACTTGGTAGGAATGTAGTCTGGCAAGAGATGCAAATGACTTTAATTTTGACACCAATGAGACAAGTGTAAGCAGAGATGCATACATGACATGTGCAGCTGGGAGAATTTAAAAGCATGACTGCTCTTACTGTACTGCTATTCAAATGAATCTGTCAATTAGGGTGGAAGGTATTGTGACTAGAGATGCCTCTGAGATGTAACCGATGGCAGTACGAACAGTTGTCAGACTTTGAGAAGGGGTGTATGTTAGGCCTCAGAGAAGCATGTTGGTCAAACAGGCATATCGGCCACCTCCTCAGTTGGAGCAATATGGTAGTTGCTCACTGTTGCTGACAATGGATCATGGAAGGGATGGTCTACTGTCGCGGAGGGTAAGGGCATCCCAGGAATACAAATGAGTATGAGAATCATGCAATCATAATAGCGGCCACTTCTGCATCGATTTATATGCATTTACCATCTTCCATGCATCCAGTGGTATCAAGAAAAAGCATTCGGATTCTGATTGTTGTGTAATTCCCACTTGCGGTGCAATAGCTTCCTCGCAAAGCTGGTTTAGGGTTGCCAGATTTGATGTGAGATCGCCCATTTAGTGATATTTGGCAAAAAAATAAAATTGGCAATATGGCATAGATGGAGTGAACGCCTAGAACACATCCTTAGCAGTTTCCTCAGGGATATTCTTGAAGGTAGGTTAAAGCTATACATACCTTGCCTGTATGAGAAGAAGAAAAGTAGTATCTTGAGCTCAGAAAGTAGCTTCAGAGTTATCGACTGACTCAGGAGCTGTACTTTAGTGCTTTGCCATGTCTTCACCGTTATAGCCCGAAGGCTGTATTGCTGATTGTTTCAGCTTGTATTTTTTTTTTTTAACAACTATAAATTATTTTACATCTGGAATAAATACTTATTTTACTATAAATTTTTTTATAAATTTTTTTACGTCTGGAATTGTCCTGTGTAATACTGGCAATTAATTGAGTTTTGCTTCTTCATCAAGTGTTATATTCCGTTACTCCGAATCCACGAACCTGTAGAACACAGAAATTGATGTCAGAAGTGGGATCTGTGAGTGATGCCAGTGACCTACCTAAAGGAAAAAGGCATGGCAGAGAAAATGAAGGCTTTGATGGACTTCTTAGCAGCTGTAACAGCCGGACAAGACGATATGAAAGCTGGATAGGAAGAGATCAAGGCAAGACAAGAAAGTTAATGAGTGCAATAAAATGGGTAAAGAAATAAAAGCCAGACAAGAAAAACTGCAAGAGAAACTCTAACATATGGAAGTGGACCAAAACAAGATTAGAAGCAACATCATGGAGCTTAGAGAAGAAACCGAAGCCAAATTGGAAGACATGAAAGCGAAAATGAAGGAAAAGTTTGAGGAAACTGGACCCAAAATAGATGTGGAAATGACAGTAGTGCCACTTGAAGAATCAAAGCATGAAGAAATGAAGAAAGTAGCTGGCAAAGTGTCTGAAAAAGATCAACAACTGAAGGATGAAATATCTTATAAGATTAAAGAACAAAGAATAAAAAGATGAAGAAATGAAAGATGAGCAATAAGCTTTTGATTCTCAAGTGCCTGGAGTGGAAATGGAAGAAAGCAATAATACTGATTGTAAAGATGAAGAAATAAAAGAAGTGGCTAGCATAGCATCTGAAAAAGGTGAAGAAATAATTCATGGATATAAAGTTCCCGATTTTCAAATGCCTGAAGTAGAAATGGAAGAAACTGAAAATGTGACTGTTCAGTCAGTAGAAACCAGCAGTCAAGTTACGAAGTCCCAGTTAGCAAGCATTGAACCACACGAAAATTCATTTGATACAGAGGTGGGAAAAGCTGATGTACAGCTTAAGCAGAGTGTTCCAGTATTGCAAGAAAATACCTCCACTTCATAAACTAAGCATGAATCTCATAATACAAGTTGTGCAGACACAAACTTGATTCTAAACTAAGATACTTCTGTTTGTAAAGAATCGAATTCTATTCATAACTTTAATGGAAAAATCTAACCTGGTTTTCAAGAAATAGAGGAAATTAAGCATGTACAAACTGCTAAAAATACCAAGGTGAACTGCACACACGATGCGAACAGACAACAGGGCAGTGGGCAAACTGCTTCAGATCTTGTTGTGGATGAAAAGTCTGAAAGGACTGAATCTTAAGACTGTGATATAAAAAACAGAAATACATCTCAGAACTGCAGTGAAAAAGTATTAAAGTTGAGTATAACTTGATGAAAAGCTTGAGACTGAAATTCATTCTGAACTTTAATTTATATGATTTAAAATTCTTATGTGGTTAATCTGTGTATATAACTTACACATAGTTACTTGTAAAATAGTATAATATTTCTTTTCTTTTGTTTACTTTGTTTTCTTACCTTTTTGATTGTTTTGTTTATTTGTACTGAATCTGGCTTTTGACCAAGGATCGCCTGGGATGTGCAGTCCTTAGGAGTGAGCAGTGTTGCAAAATGCCCAGAATCCCTTTACAGAAGGGTTGGGTTAGGGTTGCCAGATTTGACCTGAAATCGCCCAATTGGCGGTACTTGGCAGCAAGACTGATGATATGCTACAGAAGGAGTGAGAATATTCTAGAATGTATTCATAGCAGTGTTCTCAGTAATATTCTTAAAAGTATTGGGAGCTGTAATTTACTGCTTTGCCATAAAGCTGTCTTCACCATTACAGCATGAAGGCTGTGTTGCTGATAATTTCAGAGTGTTTATTGTAGTTTTTCAATGACTCGAAATGTTGGAATTGTTCTGTGTAATACTGGTGAATAAATTGTGTTTTAATTCTTCATCAAGTGTTACCATCAATTACTCCTATTCCATGAACCGGTAGAACATGACTATATATATTCTGTAATGCTAAATATATATATAAATTTAAAAAGAAAAACAAGTTAGCCAGTGTTATCACAACTGTGATTGTGAAACAAATTTAAATAAAATAGGTGAGACAAATTTTAATAAATAAATTAATACAATCCAGGAAATGTGCTAAGTAAAATTACTCCTCCCCCTAAAACTACAATATATCGGACATAGACTTGACTAGAGAATTTCTTCAATTCCAAATTTAATTTCAAATAGTTTTCACATATAACATATTGCACACAAACAGTTAGTTGTAAAAGTCTAACCTCATTTTTGGAGGACATTAAAAAGATTTCTGCTACCTTTGATAGGTGAATTACTTCATTCACACATACCAATTAAAAAAATAATGAAGGAGAGAACCACCTTGAAAAAGGACTTACAAATCTCATACAGCAATATTTTACTCAAATGTAAAAGTTACCATGCTTGGTGATTTACCACTTGTGCCCGTCTACATGAAAAATATCAGAATTCATAAAAATACTTTATGAGAGAGTGAACACCAAATATTTTATGCACGAATTACATTTACTAAAAATTTAATCCCCTAAGCGGCAAGGCTGTATATATATATGGCCAAGAATATTTTTTGTGATATCTGTAAGAACGTATATATATGTGCATATTAAAAATAAAAAATTAATTTGTTTTCATAGTATTTTGGGAAATTTGTACTTCCTTAGTAAAAACCCTGGCCGCTCAGAGGGTTAAAAGCATTATTATTTAGAGTTAGATCATTCTAAAGAACATAATTAAAAGTCTAAATTACATTCTACAAGTGCAAACATTCAATAGAAATTATGCAATTCTAGATCTAATACACTTATATTTTCAAAAAGTAAATTAAGATACTAAATACAGAAAAATCCAAACCTCTTTTGTGGTGACCAGGATATTTTTAGTGAGAAGTATCAAACTGCAGTGGAGACTGAAATCCTGTAAGGAGAAAAAATATACGTATACACATATATATAAATGTATATAAAAAATTTCAACTTTAATTTTTAATATCTTTTAACTCTTGTTTTAATTTTACTTTTCTTTGACCTAAAAATAGTAACTGCTTATAATAAATCACTTTTATTATAAACAGTTACAATTTTTAATATAAAATTTTGGATTATAATTTTTCAAAATTAATCCACATCACGTGATTTTTATATAAAGTTAATATGGCAGACAATCATGCAAAGTTTCAAAAAATAACAATTTAAAATAGGGGAAATGAACTATAATATTAAACCATTCAAAATAAATCTAAACAAAAACTAAATTATTCTGATTGGGGATTTCATCTTAAGCACATCATTCTCTCATCTACCTTCCCTACTCTTAACTCAATTGTTCCTGCTTCTTTCTTAAAATATTATTAAAAAAATCTAAAAGGTACTGGCATCCTAAACAGGAACACTTTATTATTTGCAGCTTTCATATATCAACAATAAAAGAAATGGTCAACTGGCCCTTACGATTACTACTATCTTTAACCCCTTGAGGACCAGTGCAGCCACATGACCCCCCCCCCCCCCGAAATGGAACGTTGTCACCGACCCATTCATTTTCAGCAAATAAGCCTGCTTTTATAAAAAAAATTGGGTAAATTCAACATTTTAATAGAATGATTTCAATTTTTGAAGTTAAGTACTTAATATACTAATTATTATGATGTATTAATATAAAGAACATCACATTAATAGAATTAAATGAAACATGCGAAACTAAAAATTATAACTATATGCATGAAAAACAAATACTAACACATGAAAACAAAATTCAAATAAGAAATATAAAAGAAACATTAAGCAATAATTATCTGTAGGTAATTAAATTCCAATTTAATAATTCTGCTGTGTGTGGAATAATTCAAAATGAGAATCGACATACAGGAAAATGATGGCTTTTTTTTGCTGAGTATATGCTGAGCAAGCAAGATGCATCATGCATGGAAAAAGCTGATACAACCCTTCTGTAATACAGGGTTTGTACACATTTCTGCACATGGAAATTGAGTACTTTTAAGGACTTTTTATGCAATTTAGCATCAAATATTTTACATTTATAATACTTGGTCATAGTTGAAAGAAGATAAGTGACATTTACATTTTACTAACAGCCTTATATTGATTTTTTTTATGTCTCATTTTGTCACATACTTGGTCAGGTTTAGAAGCAGGTAGATTTTATGTCAAATGGCACAGGTTAAAATGAGAGGTAAGCTTGATTCATAACAAAAGACTGAATGTTATCACTGCTGCTGCTCGTCTAGAGAGAGACCTGCTGATTAGAACAAACCTGAAAAGCCTGATGTAGGCAAGTTGGCAAGTTTGAAAGTAGTCAGGCTTGTTGATGCAGTTAGTGTCGTTAGCTTCGTGCAGAGTTCGGGGTGTAACCCAGTTATATCTCTAAGGTTCCATAAGGCTTAAGCACCAGAGGTGATAAGTTGTTTTGTAATTTTTTAATCTCGTAGATGCAAAGAAAGTTTTACTTGAATTTTAACATTTTTGTTTTATTTGTGACACAGTGAGTATTATGAAGGCAATACTCGCTTAATATTCGAGTTAATTTTTAAGGGTATGCGTTGTTATAAATAATAATTAGGTATTGAATACTTTTCATTCTGGATTTACATGACCCTCTTTAAATTTTTGATTTTTACAATATTTGTTAAAAAGCGTAAAAATGAAAATCTATTAAAATTTACAGTTTAAAAGACATGGAATTTATGACACGGTTCTTAAAAGGGATTAGGATATACATATTAACCTACCAAACTTTATGTTTGCAACAACAACTCAACAAATATTTTCCTCATTTAATGGAAGCCTTTCCAACATTTCGGTAGTTTATTGTTTCTCTCTTTAAGTATGTTTTCGAAGCATTCGAGATTTGTCTCACTGCCACTATGCTTCGCTAATTTCCGCATGCTTTATCCTAATGTCAACCTCCCACAAGGTACCTATGAGGGTTTACTTGATCTGGTAAAAGTATATAGCCCAACCCCTGACAGACATAAGCATATTATTGCCTGAAAGTAACTATAATATCAGACAAATTTTAAAGCCTTATTTAAAAGAACTTAGAACAAAGACATGTTCTATGCTAAAAAATCAATTACAGCTCACGTGACGTAATTAAACAGAACAGTCAAATTTCAAACTAAATGGACTAGTGGTCAAAGATTATACAATTTTAATTTAATTGGCTCAGTAGTAAATCTATGAGAAATAGAATGGAAATTTAATAAAGGCTAAATAAAACTGGGTAATTTACATAATAATAACTGCATTATTTTTGAAGAATGATTTTCTTTATGGTTCAGTTTTTCTTTCTTCAACATTTCCCTTTTCTTTTCCATTTTAGATTTTGATTTATTAAGGATTTCTGTTATTCTAAAAAACACTAAATGCATTTAGAACATTGAAAAAAAGCGGCTAATTTTATTTTAGTAATATGTACATTCAGAAGAAATATGAAATACATATGGTAAAGGCCGGTTACTGAGCTGATGTGGCAGAATTTTTAGAATTTAGTGACACGCTGAACAACAAAGTCTAGAAATGGCAAAACTTTTAGAATTTACAGCTGGCAATGGAAGCAGAATTAAGAAAGGCACTAGGCAGCAGAATTTAGGATCCACAGAAATTGCATCTGGTGGGAAAATGCCTAGTGTCAGCTATGTGTATGATGCATTAAAACATATTAGATGAATCTTTTAAATTGTAAGTTTTCAATTTCTTTATTAATAAAAAAATCCCTTTCTATAATGCCGCCCATGTGATAAGAGTAGAAGCTTTTTGTATTTCCATGTTTGTGTCTAGTGAAAAGTAGAGAAAATAAAAGGAATAAACATGTTAAGATTTAGATCAGAAGTAAAACCTTCAAATAGTAATGTTTTCATGTCTTCAGATGTTTCCAAAAAGTAAGGAATTCACTGCAAATTTCTATAAAATACATCCTTACGTGTTTAATACCATGGAGACATTTTTCATTTGTCACATTTCTTGAATCTTCTAAATCATGGGTCTATAAATTGCTTTCAAATCCTTCAAACTTCACGCTGCAAGTCTAAAATCCTTAAGACAAAATTACCTACCAATTCTGTAACAGCAAATCAGAAATATTTGGAAAAAAAAAGGGGGAAGGGAAAAAAAAATTTTTATAGAGAAAACGATGCGATTCTGAGAATTTTGAATATTCCGAGACAATTACAGGAAAACTCTTACTATAAAAAATTCACAGAGATAATTTTTAATTAAATTATATAGCTAATTTGCTTTTGTTTCGTAAATTGTGCTTTATAGCATTTAGACCTTTTGTTATTTTTCAGATTCAAAATATTATAATTTGCCAAAATGAAACTATAACATGGCAGCGAAAATAAAAATTTTATTTTAATCTATATTTTTAAAATAATTTCAATATATTACCTTTATTTTAATGAAATTAATCAATGTTATGATGTTTTAAAAAAATCATCGAAAAATTCTCAGATCTCGGAATTAAAAGGTTTCTATAGAAATTGATCTTAGAATCGCCAAAATGTTGAAAAGTCGACAAATTTAGAACTGTTTAACACTTTGAAGCGGCAATATTATTTTTATAATTTTTGTAACAAAAAACTTAGGAATTGAATTTATGATCCTAGAGACAGATAATATGAATTTAAAAAAGTACTCTTGCCAGTTGTTCTGTGGGTGGTGGTCGCACTGTGAAACCACCGCGTGTCTAGGACTTTGAAACTTACTGATGTAGAAGGGAAAAAAACTTACCATTTTCTGCGGTTGACTTATTGCATTCCAATAAATGACGAAATTTAAGGATTTAAAAATGTATGTAAGAATTGCATATATAATTTTTTTACATTATTTGACAAAGTAAATCGTCAGAAAAATTAAAAATAAACATTTATGTAATTTTTCTATAGCAGTGAAAATAAAAGTACTTCTAATAAGACATTTGGATACATGGATTAAAAAGTCAATAAATAAGAATAAAAAAGACTCAGTTTTTTTTTTTTTTTAATTTTAAAGAACAATTTTTTTTCTTTGTGACACTGTTCAAAGCATGTTTTGCTCTTTAGTACATGCATAGACCCACATTGCAGTTTTCACAAACATCTTGTTTATGAGATTTTTCTTGTGCTACAAAATGTACACTGCCTGGATTTAATTCACTAATATATATCCAGCGTTATTTAATTTCTTTTCATCTGGCACATGAAATTTGTGGTTTTTATTTAATGGGGGGGGGCTTGGTTTTTTGGCTTTGTATAGATCGTTCGTTTCCCATTCATACTTATTTTATTCGTATTTCATTCCAAAATATTCAGAAAATATTTTTAATTTAAATAAAACTTTTATGCAATTTCTATTTTTAATTATAGCAAAGTATATTTACATTAAATTTAAACCACAGGAAATAATTTATAAAATCACAATACTAGCTTGGGGAGTAAGTGTGTTGATGTTAGAGAAAAGTATTTGGAAAAGAAAGACCTTTTTACTGGGCAGGTGCATGTACTGTTTAGTAATAAAATAACTCTGTGGTTTCAAAGCCCTTTATCTATATCCGGGTAAAAATAAGCATTCCTATTTGAAAAGGAAGCGAACGCCATTGAGAAGGAAACGCCAGTGGTTTCAAGGCGCGACCACCGAGCCTCTAGAGGATTGTAAGCTTTGTGACACAATGCTTTAGTGGCTCAGTGGTCGCACCCTGAAACCACATAGCAAATGTCATATATATAGAAGGGGTTTTTTTATGTATTTAGTTTAATTATTGCTATTTTTTATTATCATGATGTGCGATGACTAACTTTTGAAATTTAAAGTTGTTTGTATTAATACAAGGAAGTTATTTTGTCTCATCGAAAACAAATTTTAAAAGGCATCCGATCTGAAGTATTAATACCAAAAAATGGATAAAGACATGAAGAAGGTGACAGAGAGGTTAGTGAAAATGAAAAAATTTCGATTGACAAGTTAGTCGGTATTCTCGGCATAGCAATTACGGGACTTGAACAGCGGAACTTTGTAACTGAACAAGAAATTATGTCTGTTTACAGAATTAAAGAGAAAGTATTATCACATAAAACGAAGCAACTTAAACAATTTGCATTGAAAGAAATGTAATAATATCAAATAAATATTAAGAAAAAATTTAAAAAATAGTTAATTAATTAAAATTAAAAATATATATGATTCTAGTTATTTAGTGTTATTTAGATGTAAAAGATCAGTAATCAATTCATTTTCACTCAATTTCGAAAAAAAGAGGAGAAAAAAAATTTGGAAAATGGTGGTTTCAAGGTGCGACTACCATGCGTCAAAGGGTTAACAAAAGAATTCACATCCACAAAAGCGAAAAGTTGTTTAAGAGCTCTTTATTAGAAAAATATTAATTTCAAAATGCTTATGTTTCCCTTCTTGCTTAGAAACTCGAGTATCCCATCATTTATATTAGAAATAGAAACAAATTTTATCTCATGAACCCATTCAAAAGATAATCATATGCAGTCAAAAGTCGTTAATCCGGACTCGTCGGGACTTCGGCGATTCCAGATTATCGATTTTTCCGGATTATAGATCATTAGTTTAAATCTCGTAAGATGGCATGCAGAAATTCTAAAATTAAAAATATGAAACCGTAATTTATGAAATAAAGAACAATTATGAACTAAAGGATATAAAAAATTTACAAAAAAAAAAAAAAAAAAAAAAAAAAAAAAAAAAATTTTATATATATATATATATATTTATTTAATTTTAATTTTAATTTAATTAATTATTTTTTTAATTTTTTCTTAATATTTATTGATATTATTACTTTCTTTCAATGCAATTGTTAAGTGCTTCGTTTTATGTGATAATACTTTCTCTTTAATTCTGTAAACAGACATAAATTTCTTGTTCAGTTACAAAGTTCCGCTGTTCAAGTCCCGTAATTGCTTGCCGAGAATATCGACTAACTTGTCAATCGAAATTTTTTTCATTTTCACTAACCTCTCTGTCACCTTCTTCATGTTCTTTATCCATTTTTTTGCAGCAATTCCACTTTTTGTTTGATGGACATCAAAACCATACTTTCGTTTTGTAGATCCTTTGAGAGCTCCAGCATCGGAAATTCTATTTGACATAATCGAAAGTTCAAGTTTACTTTTATAAAATTGCTCTTACAGTCTTGCAAAAAATAATAAGACGGATCCAATTCGAAGATTAAGGAACACGCAATCATCAACATTAACTGAATAGATAATTAGATAATTTTAGCTTATACTGTCCGTTATACATAAAACGCGCACGCAAAAACGTATTCTGCGCTTGCGCACATGCATATGCGCAGTCGTAAATGTCTTAAGCGCACGCGTAAACGCCTATGCACATGTGTCAACGCGGCGCATGCGCAGAAAGTTTTTAGCTTTGAAGTCCGGATTATAGATCATTCCAGATTATGGGTGTCCGAGTTAACAACTTTTGACTGTATACGTCAGTGAATCACCAAAAATATTCCTCCAAAATGCTAATTCACACTCAAAATGACAGTCGTAAAAACAGACAGAAATTTCAGATGATTAAAATTAAGGATCTTCTGCTGATTTCGGCCAAAATTAAGGACTTTTAAGACCAAAAATCAATTTTAAAAGATCTAAGGAATTTTAAGGACTTTTAAGGATAGTACTAACCCTGTCATGATACTGTAAAGTTACTTTTAATTAAACAAGTAAGTCTGCGTTAAGTTTTAAAATAAATATAAAAAAAGGACAACTGGTTGGAGTTTTTCCACCATGGAAGTTCAGCGACGTTACACCCACTAGTCAACTATATGCATTTTTCCATTCTCCTAACAAACAAAACAAAAGAAGCAAATGAAAACATTGAGCTGCATGCATTTCCCCACATTCTAATAAAGAAAAATGCAAGGAATAAAAACGAAGGCGAGGGGGGGAAAAATTCCTAACCAAATAAACAAACACACCGGCGTCCTTTCACTTAAAGAGCTGTGATTCCCAGTCTGTTTACACCAATAAATATTTCCAAACCAGAAGCACAGAATAGAAACTGATGCTCATACAAAAATGTCAAAAGCCACCATGACTTAATCGATGTAAAAATCGTTACCATTTAGCACCATCTACATCATCCATTTAGAATTTTAAATTTTTTAAAAATTGTTCCATTTCCTAGTTACGCATATGTGGCACTGGGCTGAAGAGATTGATTGGAGCTGTTTGCATATAAGTGACACTGAACTGATAAGAGTGGAATCGTTGCATTGTCCCTACATGGGGCTTGTCCTGAACTGGTTAAGCATCAATATCTAAATCACATTTTTCAATTGACGGAATCAATAACTGTGAAATAAACATTAAAGGTAAAACACGACTTGTTATACAAGAAAAATGGCAAGAAAAGGAACAAGTGATGCACTTTACAAAAAAAAAAAAAAAAAAAAAAAATACATAATAAGAATTTCTAATGCTTTAAAAATTAGATATTAATTATCATTCAACATAAAATTAAGTGCTATATTGACAAAAGCATGAAAAATTTGGTCAGGGAAGCCAAAATTAAGTATTGTACTAAAAAAGCTGATACAGTTGCAAAAATTCAACAAGTTCACAAATATTTCTTACCTGAACTATGCTATGAAGTAAATGACCTTGGCACTTCTCCCAGATGCAAATGCGATTATCAGCCCCCTGACTAATCATGTAAATATCTGTCGATAGCAATGCCATCACAGCACCTTGATGACCATTTAAACTGTACATACAAGTACCTGTCATGAGATCCCACAGACATATAAGTCCATCTTGACAACCACTGGCTGCAGATGATGGTGAAAACTATACACAAACAAAATCATAGCATTTTATTATGAATTAATATATGCAAGATCATGTTATGTATGTCAAGTTTTAACCTCCCACTATACTGGATCTAATTCTTTTTTTATATATAGTATACAGAATTAGATTCTCCCAAAATATGAGCAAAAGAAAACACAGCAAAGAAATCTGTTATGGCCAACGACCTTCTGTAAGTTTTGAATAGCAACGAGCTTTAAGTAAAGTATCACTTTTGGTTGATCATTGTTAAACTCTGATTTGTTGTTCCTATAAATAATGGAAAGGACTGTAACATGAAATTTTGCATTATTATTTATTCCATATAATTAGCCATGTGAAATCTGTTTGTAAATTTATTCCAGCATAATCAGATGTTTGCTTTTGACTTTATTACAAATTTTATTGGGCAACTGAGTAACATATAATTTAGCTGCTTTTTAATCAAATAAAATTAAGTGTTTGTAATAAAATAAATACTTTTTTACTTAATTTAATACCCTACTTTCATTTTCTTCTATATTATTTCTATGATATCAAAAAAAAAAAAAAAAAATATTCTGATATGTACATATATCACCATGATATTTAATTTATTTTGATCTGCACATATATTCCTATGGTATTTAGGCATCAGTAAACAATGCTCATTCAACTGTAACAATATGTTATAGTTTATACATGCAAAAATATGTTAATTGCTGCAAAATTGCAATGGGCTTTAAATAAAGTACCACTTCTGGTTGTCCATTAAAAATTGTTATAGGTTAAAAGTACCATTTCCAACTGTCTGATTTTACACGAAATCTAATCAATTTTTTAAATACAGAAAACTTAAATAAAGAAAATAAAAATTTTGGGAAGCTTGATATAAGAGTGAACGAAAAAATCATCACACACAGAGACATTATTGTAAAAATAGTAAAAACACATTGTGGGAACACTAATTCATGTTTATTCACTAAAAAATCAATACTAATTTTTTTTTAGTCAGTAGTGATTTTTCACTGCTGACTTTTTTTTAATTAAAAGCATTACCACTCTTACCTATGTATATACATGTAAAAACACACAATGCAGATGAAGAAATAGAAGACTGATTCCAAAAAGGAAAATCTAGTACTAATAATATATTGTTTTTATATAAATTGCATTAAAATCTCTATACCCTATTTATTCATTTATATACACTTTTACATTTTACAAATTAAAAATAATTATATTTACATTAAAATTAATACAAACAAAAAAAAAATATTTGCTTTATACATCAAATTAACTTTTACAGAGAACTAACTCATGATTACAAAAGTATAAAAATTATACCTCACTGCCCTTCTGAGAACAAATACATTCATTTAAGATACAATGCATTTAAATTTCTTTAATAATGTAAAATAATTTGGCAGTAATGCTTATAACTTAAAATAACAAATGTTTTCTGTGTTTCAAATGTTTTTCATATAAAAAAACTTCCTCGACATATGAATCCCTAGTGACCTATCCATTCAAACAATCGAAATAAAATTTCATATATTGTTATTTGAAGGTATACATTTGAGATTGTGGGGATTTAAGGGAACTTGGTATCCCAAAATCAATGAAATTACTGATTTTTCAATTTTTTGCTAGAATAATACCTTAATACCCTTACTACACTGAAGAGAAATTCTGAAATGATCTGATGATAATAAATGGTATAAAAAAGCTTTTAAAAATTTTGACACAACTTTAAATACCACTAAAATAAAAACTAAAAATAAACACTGAGGAGATACTTCTTAATTTTTTCAGTAACTTATTTAGACTTAGTGTAAATGAAAAGAAGTGTAATTAAATATGACTGCTACCATCAGCAAACTCTGTCTATTTGTATAAACTAATTTATTTAAACAGAAAGAAGTCGGGAAAAAAATTTTTTTTCACCTTTAAATTGGCAAATATTTTATAAAAATTGAGCTCAGCAAATATTTCTATGTGTATTATCAGTCAACTTTGCTATGTTTCTTCAAAAATTGAAATTATTTGTGAAAAGACATAAACAGAAAGGGGTAGTGTAATGAAAGTGATCAAGTTCCTGACTTAGCATTATTAAATTTATTATTGGCTTGACATTATTGATAATGGAACAAATACCAAACATTAAAAATTACAGGGTATAACAATTTTATTTTATTTAATTAATTAAAATATACCTAAATTAATTTAAAATGCAATTTATATATGAGAACAAATGGCTAAAAGAAGAAACGAAATCACATATGTTGCTGAGAGGTTTTAAATAAAATGTTTTATGTCTGTTCAAATTTCAAATTTTGAAAAAATGAAAAAAAAACTACAATTTATATTATTTAAATTCATTATAAATGTTTTAGAAAATATATATAATTAATTCACACATTAAAATTGTTTTGAAAGTGTTTTAAAAAACAAAAACAGGTAAAGAAAAATTCTACTTGCATGTTATGATTTTTTTGCAATATTTCCAGCCAGGTAAGGTTTTGAACAAAAGCTTGTAATTTATGTTTATATAAACCAATTGAACAGGACTAGGTTTTATCTTATATATGTACTGCAATTCAGCAATAAAATTTTTAAGAAATTTGAAATGATTAAAGGACCATTCAGACAGTTTACATTCTTTAAACTGAGTTTTCTCAATTTGCAATATATTCTTTTGCTTAAAGTCCTAAAACTTGTATAGATATGGACTAAATTATTTAATATTTTTACTGCTTATTTAAAATTATATGCTTAGTACAAACAAGGATAGGTTTTGCAAAATAGTGAAACGAAAAATTATTGGAAGTGATTATTTTTTTCCTCAGACACTAATCCATTAATTGCTCATTCCTTAAAATTATTCCAAATATATATTTTTATTGTATTTATTTTATTATATTGAAGAACATATTTTATTGTACAGTAAAAAGTCTTTAATCGGGACTCGTCAGGACTTTGGCGATTCCGGATTATAGATCATCAATTTAAATCTGGTAAGATGGCATGCAGAAATTATAAAATTAAAAATATGAAACCGTAATTTATGCCGCCCATTTCTTTGTGTTGTCACTGGTCCTTTACAATGTTCCTCTTTGCAGATGTTTACGGCAACAGTTTTCACACGTGTATCATTCCAACACCATTTATGGTTCTTCAATGCACTGATTAGATTGCACATGAAAAAAGTAGGTGTTCCCATTTAAAAATTTCAAAATATTTTCACTGTAATCATAACCCTGAGAGCTCTATTGTTTTAAACCATCACAATCTTGAGCACATACATTTAAATAACAATATCTGGAATTTTTCAATTGGATAGGTCAATAAGTTGCTAGAGGCTCATATGTAAGGCAGTTTCTTTATGACCACCCTGTTGTTAGTGCACAAAATATACAGGTAAAAAATTAAGAACAGTGATTGTAAATGTGGAATTTTCTGTTATAAATTCTAATAATTTTTTTTAACTCTCTGAGTAGAATGATTACTTTCATCTGGTCAATGAAATTTGCTGTCTCTTAGGATGCATTTCCTTATTTTAAATAGTTTGTTTTCTTATTTTTTTTATGATCTGAATACCATTTTAAAAAATAAAAGATTACAAAAACAAAATGAAAATGCATGATTTTACAAATCTAACTTAATAAGGGCTTTTTAAATTTTGAAATGATTCAAAAAGGCATATTGCTCAAATGGCTAAATAAACATTTTTAGGAATATTCAAAATCAGATTTTTTAAAAGGTACTATGTGAATAGGTCATATCAAGATAAACCACATACATCCCCCTTCCAATTATTTTCCTACCCTTTCAATCACGTTAAATAGAAATAATGTAAAGTAATTGAAAGAAAGAAAAAATATTCCATAAAAAATAGAATATGAAGTATATATTTTAGAATACACAATAAATCAAAGCAACATGTTTTATTGAATATACCATTAGAAAATTACAAACTGAACAAACATACTTGGTCGATGTTTAACACTGATATAGGAGCTGTATGGCCATGAAGAGTATATATACAAACAGAGGAATCACTTCTAAACACCTGTTAAAAAATTGATGCTATAATACACAATAGAATAAACTCTTTAGAAATTGCAGAAAAGAGAAGAAATATCTTGCCTCAAATAACTGTAAAAGCAAAAACAGAAAACTTCTATCAATTCATAACATTACATATGACATTTCAAGCCATCTTTATATAATTTAACTTGTAGACAAGAATATCCAATTTGCTGCATAATATTCAAATTTAGTTAGATCACATTCACAATTTTCAAGAGATATGATAAGTTGCAGTTTGAATACAAATTACTTTTCAAGGAAATTTATATACCCTTCAGTTTTTATGCAAATTAAACTAATCACAAATATCCTCAAATTAACTATAATTTTCTAGCTTTAATCCCCTTACTTGATCATAATGGATTCCATACATTAAAGTAGCAAAGTAGGAAACAGAGCTTCTGTTTGATATCTTTTAATAATAGATACATAATTTTATTTCTTAAGATTCCTTAATCAAAATCTCCTTAATGAAAAACCAATTCAATCATGCATCAGAACCACAAACCTTAATCTAGACAAATAATCTGAAAACATTTACATTTAGTGAATCAATGTGAATATAAATGTAAGAGGTAAAATAATGACATATTTTTAATTATTTTGTTCATGAATAAATTACTCCAAATTCATCATCAAAAACAGTTTATATTAGCAAGACAAGTACACTATCAAGAAATAACTTAGGCTAGTTTCAAACCATTCAAACACTAGTTCTAGATTTTCTTCATTATAAAAACGTAATTAGGCTTTTTAAAAAAATGTCGTTTTTCACCAGTATTCTAGAACACAGCTCTAATGATTCTAGCTCCCAAAATATGGCAATTCTATTGAATGTTGAAACTACGGGTATGGATGCTCAAATACCATATAATCTAGTAGTTGAAATTAGTGAACAAACAGAACAAGAAAAATGTGCACTTGTTAAATAGTACTAAATAAAAAATGGCAGAAATATGGATTTTGCTTTAAAGAAAAATAATCTTTTGTGTCTGTTTAACTTTCAAATGCACTCAATCAAATTAACTTGGGTACACCAAACTAAATTATTTCTGTGCACCTAAGTAAATACTTTCAAGATTTTTTTCTTTTTCCAGATATGAATACAACAGAATATATCCATGTATTAAAATACAGAGAAATACAGAGAAAGGTTGAGTTAAAGACTAAAAAAACGACAGAATAAAGACCACTTTTTGAATTTGTATTGATGCATAAAGGGTTTAATAATACTATAAGATATCACCCTTTTCTATCATTTAATGAATGGAAAGAGAGTAACAAGAAGTTAACATTACACTTATCAGTTTTAACTTTTCATCATATCCTAATTTCTGAAAAAGAAATGAATATATTTTTAATGTACAAAAAAATTTTGATAAGTAAACAAAAATATTACCTTAACCAAACGATCATATCCACCAGATACAACAAGCCCACCATCAACTTCTAGTGCAGAAATTGTTAAAGAATGAGCTTTTATATTTTGAAGCCAAAAACAACGAATAACTTCAGTACATGATATGGCATTTGGATCAATGGAATTATGAACTGGAATATAAAAAATGGCTTCAAATTAATGTTGACAAAATTAAACAATAAAATCATTTACTGCATAAAAATTCCCCACATTGCAATATATCTCCTAACTATTAGGTAATCGCATAAAATATAAAATAAATAGTAAAAGTATAATTATAGTTGAATTTAGAGGACAAATGGTTAACGTACATGAAATATCATAACAACTCTCAAGTTAACTTTACAAATTACTCCAAAAATAAAGAATAAAAATATTACCATGTTGATGAGAGGAAGCATATTCTTTACAAGGAATTGTATCTACAGCAAAAAATTCTAAGAAGCCATTCACACGTGCTGCAACTAACCTGTAAAGTACATTTTAAAAGATGCATAATAAATTAATTAAAGACAATTAAAAAAATTATTACTTTAATCAAAGACACAGTAAAATGCTACCTATCCTCTGTAAGGCACAAAGCAGTTACACCAGATTTACTCTCTTCATATACATATTCTAAATTTCCAGTAAAAGCATTCCAAACCTAAAAATTAAATATTATTAATTATGCATAATTAAAATATATCATCTGAATGCTAAAATATTTCATTTACTACCTTCAATTTTTAAGGATGATGGATGTACAAAATTCAGTATTACAGAAAATGCCACAATGACCTTTTGGGAAAAAGTAGAGGATACAAAAAACAAAACTTTTTTTCCCAATTCGTCATGACGGAAAATTTTAATTAACTTGATAACATCTGAAAAGCTAGAGTTACCAATTTACTCTTACCTTTTACACGTCTTTGCATTCAGCATGGTTTTAGAAAATTCATATATCATGTTAGGATATTTATTCCTGCTTTACTCATGTTAACATAAAACATGATTCCCACTAAAATTCAACCATTAATTTCCTTCATTTTCCACAATTTGCAATAATTTCCCTGAACCTGATGAATTAGTTATCAAATTAATTACATGCGAGTTCATAATTTTAAGTGTTTACGGTAAAATACTATGCAATAAATAAGAACATTATAAAAATTTAATGAATCTAAACTCTCACAGTAGCAAAACAAATGCTACAGAAACAATGCATGTAAACCATTCAATAAAGTAGACAGGATTTTTAAAAAAGAATATTAAGCTTAAGGAAGAAAAGTTTACATTATAAATACAGTCAAAAGTCTTTAATCCGAACTCGTCGGGACTTCGGCGATTCCGGATTATCGGTTTTTCTGGATTATAGATCATCAGTTTAAATCTGGTAAGATGGCATCCAGAAATTATAAAATTAAAAATATGAAACCGTAATTTATGAAATAAAGAGCAATTATGATCTAAAGGGTATCAAAATTTACAAAAAAAAAGCTTGGTATTTATTTGTTTACTTTATTAAACACTTCTTTCCACGCGTGCATGAGTAAAGCATACATTATGCATAGTCGAAATTTGATTTAAATCATAAAGACTGAGTACATTTAGTAAGGAATTATAGGCCGAATAAAAAAATAAAAACATCTGCACTTAAGGAAGAAACCTATAATATTTCTGCTGAACATAAGCCAGCCTTTTTTATGATTACATGATCCTCTCTCATATACTTTTTTCCATTTATTTCAGGATAGCTGCCTTCTATAAATTTTGGAAAATATTCAGAACAGTATCTTACATAAGTTACATAAATTGTTATCTACTATATATAATTAGAATGCAGTCTATAAACCATTCTCATTTATTTTTTTTTTTTTTTTTTTTTTTTTTTTTTTTTAAGTTTTAAAAAAATCAGAGAGAGTTTAATAAATTTCAAATATCAGGATGCTTTAAAAATAATTTTTTAATTAAAATAAATAAAGCTTTATGTCAAAATAAATAAAGCTAAATGAGTCATGTATGTAATTGTATCAACATAAATATTAATGATCAACATATTCATTATATTAAACTAACAATACTTTTTTAAATGACTCCTCGCAGCTGAAGCTTTTCTGCTTAAATATCTTTATATAATGTGTTGTCCCAAGTTAAGTTTACAGATGATTTTCTAGTACATTTACAAGCATTGAAAATGTCAAGTTGTTTGTAAAAAGTGTTGTAATATAAAGAAAATCTAAAATTTATTACTGGTCAATACTTTTAAACTAATTTTAATTTTCACGTGTTTTTGTAATCGTCTTTCTGTTTACAGTTTCGGAAAACAAAAAAGTACCAGAATATTTAACTATTAATAATTCGACAGCACATCTCTATCATTAAAAAGAAACACTCACTTCAATACGGCCTTCCCTACAGCCAACAGCAATACAAGAACCATAATGATCTATGCTCCATACAGCTTGAGGAGATAATATGGAATGTACAATTTTTGTCCCTTTGTCTGTATATTCATAATTTGAGTCTTTGTAATGCTGAAATTCATGAGCTATATTATGGCAATCATTCAATGAATAAGCATCCTCCATTATCATCTCTTTGGATGGACTATCTTCTGATACAGCAAATCTACTAAAGTCATATTTTTGTCCAGGCATACAATCATCTACAGTACTATGGGGAGTTTTATCAAATGTAAAATGTTTTGGAAAATTACAAGCACTTTCAGATTGCTGAGGTAAAAAATTTACAGATGAACTATTAGAGGTTTTATGTTGGCTCATATATTCTCCATTGTCTGATTGAGGTGATGAGCTGTATGTTGAATCTGATGAAAAACTACCATTGCTTCTAGAATGAACTGTCTTCCTCTTTGTAGATTCAAAAAACCTAGAAGTACAATAAAATCAGTACTCGAAAATCAACACAACTACTTAAAAATAATAGTAGCCTAAAATATATTTTTCACTTAAGACATTAAAAGGAAGAAATACTACTGCTATATTTGAGCTAAACTTCAGAGTGTCAAGAAATCTTGAATAATACTTTTTCTAAAGAATTTGTAACTAAAAAAGGAATTCATTGGCACTTCTTGCAAAACAAGCAGAATCTGGCAAATATCAATCATAAATATCTAGAAAATGTTACTGATGAAGAAAATAAAAATCACATTATATTTCATAAAAAAATCATAATTATATGTGTACGATGTATCACAATATACTTACATAAAATCCTAACAATTACAGCCTTGTCATGTTATTAAAAAATAGCATGTGCATTAAAAAAGGAAAATCACTCAAATGATGCATTTAATGTTTGCCATTCCTTGTACAGTAAGCCCTGTTTAAAATTACTTCGAACAACACTGATTTGATGAAATGCATAGAACCTTATAAAAAATGACCATAAGCCTAACATTGTTATTTTCAATGAATTTATAATTAAATGGTTATACTAAGGAGGTGGGTGTTAAATTTTGAATGATTCATTACTATTCAATTATTTCATTACTATCCCTATTAAATGATACTAATTATTAATCAGTAGAAACCAGATGATGTAAAATTATTAAATGCTTTTGTTTTATTGTACAAGTTAAAAACATTCCAACCATTGAACCAAGAATTTTTATTCTACAGTTCAAATCATTAATGAACAAGTTAACATGAATAAATGCAGAAGGTGCAAATGATGCACATCTGCCAGCCAAACAATCCTACAACATTCACAAAGATATTTCAGCAGAAAAATTTCAGACTTAATTTGAAGTTGCTTAAAGATCTATTAAAACACAAAATAATTCAAACTTATATTTATTCCATGCAATAAAATCTGTTTGAAATCATATTTTGATATCATTAAACAACCAATTTAGTCGATGTTTTATTTTTATGATTTGGAGTTTAATTCATTATAACAGCATACTTGCTAACCTACAACACTCAAAAATCAGGAGATTCAATTTTTCAATTTTTCCTTCCTTTTAGTACTCCATTCAAAATAATAATAAATATCAACAATGTATTCATCCATACTTATTGGTAAAGACGCTGCCCCTTTTCAGCTGCTGAATTTAAGAGGTGACAGGTGCACCTCATAACTTTCAAATCTGAATTTTCCTTTTTCAAGATGTCTGCAACACCAGCTTTCAAACCATTACTGGTGCATTATCGGCACCAAGTACTAAGCAATTATCCAGAGGAATTGCATTTTCTTTAAAAGTTTTAAGAATTAGTTGTAATATATTAAATAACTATAACAATCAAATGTCCTTCTAAAGTGGGAGTAAACTATACTTAAATAAAGAAAACTAGCCTTTACTTTTGAAGACACTGGATTGAAAAATGGAACAACGATTGGATACAGTTTTGAATTGGTGTTATTGCCTCCATTTATAGAGAGGCAGAATGGAACTGTTTTAATGTAATCAGTAACTGAAGATTTATTTTTGATATCCATTTCTTTAACAAATTGCAGCCGCTTTGGTCATTGCACTTCAGTATTTCTGAGCGAATTTGCTATAAGGAAAATTTTTTCTAAATAAAGGTTGATCTGATGCATTCAGTGGCAGGTTGTACTCCAGGCAGAGAACAGGCATTCTACATTAATAAGTTTTTGGTCCTTTGTTTTCACAGAAAAATGTGATTTTTCAATTTTTTTCAATAGAACTCATATTGTCCTTAGATTTTTGTGTACACACGTATTTGAGAACATCGGCACTTCTACCATGCGAAATCGAAAAATCGTTATGACAAAAGGTACACATTGCAACTGCATTCCCTTAAGAATATAATAGAAGTCATCTGTGCATGATTTTTGAAAAATACATGAGTATTTTGTCTTTTCGCACACATAACTAAAACAAAATATCATCATTTCTTACACTATTTCTCAAAAGCATGTGCACTCACACCGTTTAGTTGTTAGATGAACGAATAACAACCTCGATCTTGCTTTATGCTCCGTGGCTAATGTATGCCAGATGACACGCAGTGGCGCTCAATGTTCACTTGAGAACTAGAACACGGCTTTTTCGGACACATGTGCTCTCACAAAGCAGAAGGGCACCATAGTTTCTTACTGATAAAATGATTTTGGTTTTCTTTATAAAATATAGAGAAAAAATAAGTGCTTTCAGATGCCCAAAATCACTTTTTTGGGAGGGGGGGGCAAATAACAAAGTATTAAGGCAAACTACATAAAATCATGAGAAATTTTAAGAATAAGATAAAATCGGGAGAAATATATTGTAAATTAGGTTGGCAGGAGAACGGTTGGAATCCGAGAGTCTCCCGCCTGAATTGTGAGAGTTTGTAATTCTGTAACAGCTTTAATTTGTTATACAATATAAATTCACATTCTAATCTGTAATTTTTTTATTGCTAAACAATAGCATGTAAAAAAAAATGCTCCCTTGTTCTGGCTTGTTATAAGTAAAAATCATTCCACTTTATGCTATTTCATTTAACATTTATTTCTTAGAAATGCATTCCCAAAATAACTAAGGTGCATAATAACTAAGGTGCATATACACACAGAGAACTCAAAAAGAAGTGCTGTGAGCTTTACTTCTTAAATATTGATGATGAACATGAAATTCCAGTTATTGTTTTAAAAATACGAAACAGTTTTAACATCATAGTAGAAAGTTTCACCAAAAACAGAAAATAAGTGCTTTCATCATGATTATTGTAGGCTACTTAATTTTCATATACATCTATGTATTCTAACTAGTGAAAAACTAATTTTTATATAAATGTTTACTAAGAACATTTGCATATATTATATAATTTTATTATCATTTTAAATACTAGTTTTATTGAAAAAACAAAATGAAAACTTTGGACCTTAAGTACTGAGCATGTGTTTTACATAATATCAGGCTACTTTAAATAACAATACACTTGCAGTACTCTTTTCCCCTCCCTCATCCCAATTCCTTTTTATTTTCAGTATAGTTATCCATAACACAAAAGCCTGTAATCATTAACTATAATAGGCATGATTGAGTTTCAAGCATAATTTTACCCACTTAACAATAAAAAAGAGCTTGTAGACAATGTATGTGCAGATACATATATAATAGATGGGTGAGGTTTATTGCGTAGATACAATGATGAACATTGGAGACAAACATTCTAGTCATAGATTCAACATATTTTATTTCCAGGGTTCGTACACATTTCCAAACACGGAAATTAAGTACATTTAAGGACCATTAATGAAAAAAATTAAGGACCTATGAGCAAATGAGAACTGAATAAATTCAATTAAAAATATTATCTATGCCTGAATTTCACTTTTGTAATACCATTCTAAAAATAAAATAGATCCTTAAATAGTATGCATTATTACTAAAAATGAATTAATTAATTGACATAATTATTAACAAGTTTGAGAATAAAATAAACTTTATGCAATTTATCAAGTAGCATTAAATATTTTACACTTACAATAGTTGGACATATTTGAAAGAAGATAAGTGACATTTACGTTTTACTAACAGTTAGCTTTCTGTTGATATTTTTTATGCCTCATTTTGTCACATACTTGGTCAGTCTACTTGGTTTCATAAATAGCAGGTAGATTTTGTCAAATGGCATAAGTTAAAATAAGAAGTAAGATCATAATCAGCATGATTCATAACAAAAGACTGAATGTTGTCACCGCTGCTGCTAATCTAGAGAGAGACCTGCTGATTCAAACAAACCTGAAGGACCTGATGTATGCATGGTTGGCAAGTGTTGAAAGTCAGTCAGGTTCTATTTGATGCAGTTTGTGTCGTAGCTTCGTGTAGAGTTCCAAGAGTTGTAACCCAGTTAATATACTTTAAGGTTCTAATAAGCCATTAAAGCACCAGAGGTGATGAGTTGTTTTGTATTATTTCAAGTCTCACTAGATGCAAAGAATACGTTTTACTTGAATTTTTACATTTTTGTATTTTATCTTGTGACCACAGTGGATTGGATTATTTATAGCAAGGCACATGAGGGCTATGTGCCTAAAGGGAGGGATGCCTTCATGGAGGACTTTCTAAGGAAAATTTGCTTGTATACACATTACACATGGGGAAAACCATCAAAACGCCCATGCAGCCAGCCCGTTCGCAGGATTCGAACCTCGGACCAAACTACCAGTGTTCGCCACCTTTACCGCTCGGCTGCTGGTGGGCCTGACCACAGTGAGTATTAATGAAAGGCAATAACTTGCTTTAATAGGTAGAGAAAATTTTTAAGCGTAAACAGCTATCAATAATTAAATTACGTAAGTTAATAACCTTAGTCATTATGGATTTACATGGCCACTATTAAATTTTATTTTTTAACAATATTTGTTAAAAAAGCCCTATCAAAATCGAAATCTAATAAAATTTCAGTTTAAAATACATGTAATTTATGACATTGATTCTTAAACAATATTAGGATAATTACACATTAAAAGCTACAAAACATTTATGTTTTGTAACAATAACACTCAGCAAAATATTTATCCTTCATTTTAATTTGAACCCTTCCCAGATATTTTGGCTAGTTTATATCAATTTCCTTCTCTTTAAGCATCTTTTCGAACAATGCGAGATTTGTTTCAATATGCAAAAACCGATGTTCTTGCTAGTTTCTCCGTGCTTTATCTCCTAAGTTAAATAGTCCAAACCCCTCGACAAACGTGAAGCATATTATCACTATGTCTGAAAGTAACTGCAATATCAGACAAAGGTTTAAATAAGACTCTTATTTAAAAGAACTGAAAACATAAAGGCATGCTCTGCTGCTAATAAAATCAATTACAGCTCATGGTGACGTAATTAAACAAGAACACTCAAATTCAAACTAAAAATTTGGACTAATGGTCAAACATATACAATTTACTTTTAATTTAACCCTCTAAACGGCAAGGCCGTATATATACGGCCTAGAAGATTTTTTGTGATATCTGTAAGAATGTATATTAAAATATGTCAAATGTGCATAATAATTCAATCATTTTTAAAGCAAAAAATGCACAATTTACAAACATATAAGAATAAAGAATCTGAGCTCACTGATCCGAGTAACAGAGTGGATATATATATATATATACATATATTTATATACTTTTGGTGCAGTCAATTGCACCCAAAATACGAGGTGCATATCTACATGTTATAGCAGTCCTACATTCAAAATTTCAATGTTCTGAGGCTACTCATTTTTGAGTTATGAGAGATATGTACGTACGCACAGACACCATGAAAAATTCTCTTCAGAATTCATTTTAAATCAGTTTTATAATTTTTTTGGGAGGAAAGTGTCCTTTATTCTGTCCTTACTTGCAGATGTCATAGTTAGAATTTTTACTTACCACTTCTTTACATTCCAATTTTAAGAAAACAAAAAACAATAAATTAGTCAATAATATCCGCGTTTTTGGACTTTCCCTATAGACCCAAGATGTCAAACTACAGTCATTTGGCTACAACCTATTCATTCGGCTGATTCTCAAGTGGTTTGACACGCATCTTTGTGCAGAAGTTGATTCAAATGCTCTTCATAAATTCATTTGGTCGTCTGGAACGAGCAGTCTTCAAGGTCAAAATTTCCATTTTTAAATTTAGTAAACTAATTTCTTGCAGTTTGTTCAAGCATTACACCTTCTCCATACACTTCACAATTCTCTCAGGCAGCTTCTGCAGCATTGACACCTCGATTAAATGCAAAAAGAAGGTGGGTGTTGAAAATGCAAAAAGAAGGTGGGTTGAAATGCAAAAAAGAAGGGGGGTGTTGAAAATGCAAAAAGAAGGTGGGTGTTGAAAATGCAAAAAGAAGGTGGGGGTTGCTTATTTTTGCCGAATTGAAACTCCATTTTAATGATCTGAAAAATAACAAAATCTAGCTCAGACAAAAAAATCAAATACGCCTTCTTGTAGAGGGAAAGATTCTTTTTCGAATAACACAAAACATTACGCCAATACATTTTATTTTTACTGCGTAATTTTAAACACAACATAAATGGCCATTACTTATGTTTCAACCCTATACTTTTTTTTTGAACAGCCAGAATTTGGTACTTCTAAGTAAGAAGAAAAAACTGGAAAAAGAATAGGATATATTAGAGAACAGAAGAACAGAGTAAGCCAAAAGAAATCAAATAAAAACAAAAAATAATACTAGGTGTTCCACTGGTATATCATCAAGAGGTTGCTGCCATCATAGTATACTGCATTAAATGTCATATGAATTTATAATTGCAAGATAATGAAAAACTTATACATGACATATCAATTTAGAATTAAACTAATGCTTAAGCAAAACTAATACAATATACCTGGATCGGCGTATTAAAGTGAGACATTCACCAGATATAGAATCCCACACATTAATATTTCCATCCAAGCAGGAACTGATAACAACATTACTATCAGCACAAATGTACTCCAATTCCTAAATAAAACAGCAGAATAAGACTTAATAAAAAATTTAAACAAAAAATTTACATTGTAAATCATGAATTAAAAAAAATATATATATATAATTGCTAAACACTTAAGCTTAACTAGATAGTTTCAATTATTGGAGGAGTTAAAGCAACAAGAATCGTCATAATATTCATAAATTTACAGGATTAATTTTGAAGGTTTAAATATAGAACCTCTTTTGGCTGTAGAAGTGCAGTTGAAGCCTTCTCTTCTGTCAATAAAATTTGCAGTTCCATATTTAAAGACTCCATTTCGGATCATGCCTTGCCAATGCGGTTTAACCCTCTGACCAGCATGGAATTTTGCTAAGAATGTGCAAATTTTCCCAAAATGCCCTAGAAATAGGTGATTTTAATGGGAAAATGCCTCTTGTACTTTATACCTGGATTAATGTCCTTTTAATACATTCCTTCAATTTATTGGACACATTTCAAAATGCATGTATACATACATACTTTCGCAAAGATGTCTCAAAAAATATTCTACGCCGTATATACAGGGTGTTTATAAATGAATGGTATAATTTTATAAATTAATAAGAAATCAATGTATTACTTTTTATGAGCAAACCTTACATCATAAATAGTGGGAAATGTCAAAAGATTTTGATGCATTAATCACAATCCCTCAATATGTGCACACTTGATCACATGACACACATCTACACTGTAATCAAATTTTTCCCATACTCAGTGTAACATGTCCACCATGATGGTCTGCAGTGCATGCTTTATTCAATCACAAACTTCCATAAGAGATACGAACATTAGCGGTACATAAACTCGGGCTTTAACAAAACCCCAAAGAAAGAAATCACTTGGTGTTAAATCCAGTGACCAGAGAAGAAGCCTGTTGTCAGCTGTTGCAGTATGTCCAACTCAGGAATAATATAAGCTCTTACACATTCCTATGAAAATGGGGCAGAGCACCATCTAGTTGCAAAATGTAATCATCATAATTAGAGTTCAGCTGGGGTAACAACCAGCTTTCCAACATGTCTAGAAATAAGTCACTGATCACAAATTCTTATTTGAAGAAAAATGGGCTGTATACTTTCTCACTGGACACCACACAGAAAATGCTTACTTTTGGAGAATCATGTTGATACAGTATCTGTGAATGTGGGTATTTTTTTTTTTTTTCTTCTCCAGATACCTCATTATGTTTGTTCATCTTGCCACTTACATGGAAATTAAACTTCATTGCAAAATCTTCATCCATTTTTAACTACATTTCTTTAAAAAAGCCAAGCATTTTCAACTTTACAGTCCACTGGTGTAAAGTCCCGGCACTAATCCCCCTTTGTATGGTTTAAAACATAGCTGCTTATGCAACACCTTCCACATTGTATTCTTTGGCATGTCCAATTCCCTGCTTGCTTTAGTATGTGACTTGTGAGGCCTGGACTGAAACACTTCATGCACTCTTCCAATTTTTGCATCAGACACACCAGAACTATTGCCTTTTACAAAGGCATCTAGTATTCATGAACTGTCAATACCACCTACTTATATTATTCTTGAGTGGGGGGTCTTTCCTAAACCATGCAACGAAACTCACGCTGCACTGTAGCCACAGATCCGGACACCTCAAAATAGAGCACACAGAAAACCTTTTCCTGTTGCGACGCCATCTTACAAACTGACATTGTGCAGTAAACATAACAAGCAAACAGCAGGCAACACATGAGAAATTTGGACAGTTGTCAATACTTACAGTGTAGGTTTTACCTCAGGTAAGATAATAGATTGATTTATTATTAAGTTTTAAAACCACACTATTCACTTATAAGCACCATGTATATGGCCTTGCCGGTCAGATGGTTAGTTTACATTGATCAAACTATGAGTCTTAAAACTTAACACTAAGGAAGATAAGGCATACATTAGGAAAAAAAAAAAAAAAAAAACACAAATCCTCTAATTACCAAAATGAGGGTGGAAATTTGCATTTTTAGAGTTTTTAATTAATATCCCAGCTGATTAAAGTCGTATGAAGATCAGAATGGACGAAATGGCTTCCCATGAATTTTTTGAATCCAATTGTACCTTCCTCGAAACTCAACTCCCTGCCATTCCAGAGGAGATAATGCCATAAACAAACAAAGCAGACATGCACATTTTTTAATAGTATAGGTATTTAATCAGATATTCTAAATTTTACATTCTATGGCTAATTTCATTTTATAATTTTCTTACACTTTTGAGAAAATCTTGAGTTCGAAAAAAAGCTTTAATTTAGCAAAGTATTTTTAAACATGATAGAAATAAAATGTATATTATAGTGTGGATAAATTTAATAATGCACTGTATATTGATGTACAAAAAATAAAGATAAGTATTAAATGATTAAACATTGCTTGAGTTTTGAAGTCTACAAAGATTAAAACGATTCAAATTTCATATTTAATATGGAAAATTGTGCCAAAAATCACTACAGAAGAAGAAATGAAATTTGCACAATTTGCATTTATTCAATAAATTTCATTTACTGCCACAAAAAAAACAATATTCCTCCATAACAGCTAAAAATTAAAAAAAATTGGAAAAAATGATGACCTACCAAGGGACCAAGAGGATTGGCAGCCATATCATATGATAAACTCCTACCTTGCTGACAGTGATAGCTATTCATCTTAAAAATGTACGTTCCTTAATCCAGCCTTTTCTAATATGTTCAATCACACAGGTCATTAAATGACCTGATTTCACTCACTACCTAGGTAAACAATGCATGTCAATGTAAAGAAAACAGAACAATTCTGTTCTTCATAAAATGCAAAAAATTGGTCTCGGCAATAGTCAGTTATCTCAAAACTAATAGAAAAACATACCATTTTGTTAGAAAATGTTTGGAATATTCTGGACAAACAAATTATGAAATCTTTCAACATGTCCAGATACTTATGCCATTGATACTTCTTTCAGAAAATAAGTGGAGTGAGAGAAAACATAAAATTATGATGCAGTTAATGCTGCAGGTCACATCTTCCCTTGCTTTCACAGTTACTATTCTTTATCTTCTTTCCCCCCTTTTTTTTCCTAATAAGCTGCATCTTGGAAGTAAGAAAACTATCCAGAAAACTAAACTGAATAAAATCAACAGATTGATACAACATTCAAACAGTTAAGATGGATTGAATCAAGAGATTGATGAAAACCCTCAAATGTTATGAATAATTAAATAAAGAATCATTAAAGAAATAAACACAAAAAACAATGATGTTCTATTTCAAATTACTGTACTGAAATATTATTGGCTTAGTTAAAAAAGCATTTTCCACAAGTGGTAATAGTGAAATATTTTAGAAATTTCCACCATCTGTCTAATTCAGAGTATTAAAAAACAAATGATGACCATTAAATTTTTGCTCACTCTTTTTAACTAGCTGTTGTTTCTAGTTTGTAATAAAATCCTACCCATCGTATTTAGAGGCTACTGTTTATTGATCATAAAGAAGATGTTTTACTTATTTTTGAAGTTATAAAAACACAATTTTCAACATAACTTTTATTGATATAAAAAGACAATTTATTTAGACATTTTAATATTTTCTATCAAATACAATTTCATAACCATAAGTGTCATAAATATGTTCCTAACACGCAGCCATAGGTCAACTATAAAATTCTTAGCTTTCTTTCTTACACATACATCACTAAGGATGGGAAGGCATAAGTAGCTGACTTTAACAATTTCACTGTGAATGTAATATTTCATTATGATAACAATGTAATTGTAAGTATAAACTGTATATTTTTTTTTGGTAGATATACTGTATTCAGTGAAGTGAATACAGATGCACAATAAAAAAACATTAATATTTCAACTACTCATAAACATCTATTGTTTGGATTCAACCATCCAAGTATGACAAAGTACACAAAGGCTATCTGCCTAATGGGAAGGATGCTTTTGTAATGAATTTTCTAATGGGAAATGGACTATATTTACATAACAATATAGAAAAGTCCTATAAATATTGTATAACCAACTTATTCTGTAGGCAAAAATAGAACAGTGAGTAGACTACAAGTATTTGGTAGCTTTGGCAATTTAGTTTCTGTTATTTTGAAATTCCTGCAATTTTAAACTGACACAAAAGCTCATATTTTTTTAATTAATTTAATATACAGAATTATGAAGGAATTAGGAAGTACATTTCTCGATAACTGATGTTAATTGCATAATGACAGAATTAGTGCAGCAAATGGAATCACTACTGAAGCTAACCACTGAACTAACCTACTGAAGCACTTAAAGAAAAAAAAAAAAAAAAAAAAAAAAAAAAAAAAAAAAATTAAGCCTCAGTTACTAACTTGCGAATGTCCATGCAATTTCATAGGGAAAGTTTCCATCACAAGATTGGCATCAGCTGTACTTTCAGAATATCCATTCCTATTCGACTCCAGTCCTGCAGAGGATTTCCAAGATGTCCGCCACTCAGCATAATGTTTAGAACACATACAGCGGTATAGTACAACCATAAGATAAATAAAGAATAGCAAGCTGGGAACTGCTAGCGCTATGGCAAGTGCAACTTCTCCAGGTGAAGATGGATGATAAGGAAGGTCTTGTGACAAAAGATCATCAATATCTAAAAATATATGAATACATGCATGCGACTCATTTTCCATATTTCATACTAAAAGACTGTCTATCCTATGACACATGCAAAAAAAAAAAAAAAAAAAAAAAAAAGTGGAATAAATAAAAAAGGAAAAAAAAAAGTGATTTCAAACTACACATTTAACAATATTTTACGATGGAAATAATTTTAACTATACATAAAATATATTTTTTTTGGTAACACTTATCTTTGTTCCTAAATTACATCACTTAAGTGTGTCTGCTACTCTGCATAGTTTTAAAACTTAAGATTTTAGGTCATGAGAAATGCGTATTTGAAGTTAAAAAAAAAAAAAAAAATTCATCCCTCCTATCATTTCATAAAAATGTGGCTTAAACATTAAAACAATATTCTTTTGTTTATCAGCACAGTACATAAGAAATGAAATCATAACAGTTATTTATTTTATTTATTTATCATTATTTTTGAAGGAAAAACAAAAATAAATCTGGAAATTGAAGACATCCATCTAACCTCCATCTTTTCTTTCTCCAGAGGACAGGAATTTCCAATATGAATTTTTAGAAATGTCATAATCTTTAGGATTACGAAGTGCTATGGCAGTAGCAGAATCAACCGCTGTAGATACATGTATTGGAGGCAAAATACTTATAAACCTAAAAACAGAAAATAAGCAATGCTTAATAGAGAATTTACTTCAAAACTTGCATAAAAAGTAAAATCATATATTAATCAGTTAATTATGCAAATATTATGGCATTAATAAAAGCACCACCACAGAAGACTAACTTTCAGACACACAGTACAATAATCCAAAGCATAATTGGTATTATTCTTATAAAAATCTCATAATCTAAAACATGAATATAAATTAAACCTTCAGATGAAACATTACAGAATATGGCAACTAAGTGCAACAGTATTTTTAGCACGAATCTCCTTTAATGATTTTTAATTTTTAAAAAAAATCAGAGAACCCATTGAACAAGATATTATACATGTATACAATACTGCAAGAAATTATGCTCTCGAAACATTATGGAAATAATAGTCAATGACTGTTGACATAGTATATTTATAAAGTGAAAACTGTAGTTATAAGGAAGGAAAGCAAAAAGCAGTTACCTTAAGAGAAACCCTGTGGGTCATGCTATGTGAAAAGCACAAAACATGGGAAACTTGAGATGCAGAGTGAACTTGACAGAACATATGGTAACACGCCTAGGTACACCACAGCATGATGAACAAACATAAGGAAAGCATTTTGAAATATGCACGGGAGAGGAGGAGAATACAAAAAATTATGTTTACCTCGGTTAAAATAATCAACTAACATATTACTGTTGCATGGGTATGGGTTTGTAATGGATGGAACACACAATACTGATGATAGCTTCATAAAATTTATTTTCCCAAAAGAAACAGTTTACAGTTCAGGAACTTTCTATAAAAGTATACGTATAGCTCTTTTCAGTAGAAAAGAGCACAATCTGTAGTTACCACTTCAAACTACTAAGAATGTAAAATACAACACAATGTAAAGCTCATCTAAAGAGTGTAACTCACTCTGAGATCTCTCAATACTCAGAATTGAATTCTGAACTGAAAACTGATGCTCTCTCTGGTCTTATATAGTTTTCTCCTGGCCGCCGAGGAATTTCAAGTACCTTCCCTTTCTCAAAATTGCTGAAAGGCATATATGGTTAAAAGTCACATAGGGCTAAATACAACTATGGTTACCCAGGCATTTAGGCCAATTACAATTATAAAAAGGGTCAAACCAAACTGTTGCCAGGTTTGACAACTTTTGGTGCTTTCTCGCCAAATTTGGTGACAAAAATTTGCCAAAACCATCACAAGATAACCATTTACCTCAATGTTACACAGATTTGGTGTTGTAGTATTATTTTTTGGCAAAGCATCATATTTTCAAAGATTTCATGTTGCATTATACAAGATATATCACAATTTTACATATAATTTAACTAAAATTATTTACATATATACAAAATTTGTAGCATTATTAAAGACACTTTACTTTTCCTAAAACAAAATGATCAACTAACAAATTAATTCTACTTTTCTAAAATAAATTATTGATATGGCATTTAAATAAATATAACACTTTAAAACTATGATCTATTGCAGGGTTTTTTTTTATACCATAACTTTTGGTAAAGAACTAATTACTATAATAACAGCACATCACTTATGGTGATCATTATAGAAGATAACATATAATTTAAAAAAATATTCTAAACTACAGTGGGTTTTAAAAGTCAAGCAACAAATTGACCAAAAGCTGTTAAAAATTCTTGAAATTTCAATATGTTGCAAAAAAAGGCAAGATGGATGGAGTAGCATTATGCAATTGGTTCACATAAATACAATACAGTTTAAAAAACAGCTCTTTAGGAAGGAATCATTTTTCAATAAATGGTGATATATTATATTAAACAATTTTGAAATGGCAGAGTGTAAAAATGAGTTCAAGATGACATTTGATAGCAGAATTGCAATAAACAGTCATAGGCTGATCAAAAGCAACTCAACGACAGCCTGAGGTTGCAAAATAGCTAAATGTTGATTTTTTTGCAGTAAAACAGTTGTGGAACCAATTTCTAACTATAGATTAAGCCTGTCAAAGACCTACCAAAGATAGGCCAAGAGTTACGACTTCTGCACAACGCAGAAGAACTTCTGCATATTTGTGACTGCAACAGGAAACTCTACCTCAGCTTAAATTCATGCTTATCTCTGCAACAGAAAGGGCAGCATTGGCCAGGACAGTATGCAGAAGGCTGAAGGAAACAGGTTTGTACGCTATATGCAAATTGCATTGTGAGAATCCTTTAGCTCCTACCACAGAGTGGGCATGTAAACTGAACTGAAAATCAGAATTAGAGGTCTATTCTATTCACTGATGAGTCCTGCTTTGCTTTAGAGAGTGATTCTTGATGTTTTTAAGGACATTTGATTTGAAACCCTTAATATATCCTGTCTAATATATGGGATAGGGATACCTATACAGAAAGTAGTGTTCTTGTAGACAGAAGTATCGTCAGGTGGGTGTACAGACCTGTATATGATGTTACATGGAATCAGTGCCGATCCTAGACCACCAAACTGGCCACCCTTTTTAACTGAAATAAGTTTGATAGTCACTTCACCAACCCTGTGCTTTGTACTATTTTGCCTCCTTGCTAGGATCAGCCTTGCGTGGAATTCTGAATGCTCAGAGGAACAGAAATACATACTCGATCCTGTTGTTCACCCATAAGCCACCGTAACTGGCAATACCTTCATTATGCAAGCAGATGCTCTCTCACACTGCTCTCCTTATGCTCCATTTTCTTGAGGCAGCATACTCATGAAAAAGTCAGCATTCTTTCACGACCTTAATCCCACTGACCATGTGTGGGATGCTCTAAAGAGGCATGTTGCTGGCCTCCAACATCCTCACCAAACTCTAGATGGGATTAGAATGGCTTTATTTGATCAGTGGCCACTGCTAACCATGCAGGTAACTGAGAACATCATAAATAGCATAAGATACAGCTGCCAGGACTGCACTGCTATTTGGTGTGATAATACTCACTATCGAGAAGCTCTTTTGTATTTAATTTGCTTGTCCGACTTTAAGAAATTTTATTTTCCTGTTGGATATCATACAGAGTATTTACATCTGATACAAAAAATTTACATCTGACGGATGTAAATACTCTGTATAACATTTTCTAGTGCTTTTAAGTTATAAGTGATATAATAAATATTTTCACCTTAATTCATCCTCTTTCCTTGCATACTTTTGAGTTATCAGTTTTCCATTTGTTGTTTAACTTTTGGAAACTGGTGCATAATGTGGTAGACCAATTCAATAGGAAATAGCTTAAATATTCTTTACCATTTCAAGTAAACTATACTTATTATATATTATCATTTATTTTAATTACTATCTTTACGAAGCCCTAAAGCCTCCTATAATTTTTCAATATAAATTAATTTAATTATTGAACAAGTTATTGTTATTAAAATGTGGACAGGCCAAATTTGCATAATCTAAAGGTTCATAAAATTTTCCATATTCTGAAAAACAACTATATCAATGCATACAAAACAAGCCTAACAATAAGAGACAGGAAACAGTGGCTTATGCAGATTACAGCCTTTTTTAAAAAGAAAATCAGTTTCTTTTTTCATTAATCTTCAGAAATATTAAAGTAGCTCATAATGCACGGGTAAATAAGCTTCCACCATAAGTGTGGGATATCACAAATTCGAAATCTCACTTTCCCAATACAAATAAAAACACAGCCAGAAAAATGGACTATGAGTCAATTAGCAAAACAGTTCTCTTGCAAGATTCCTATAAGTTCAGCAGTTTATTAGCTGTTTGTTCAAACCTTTAAGAATCACTCAAATTATATGAAAATTACCATAAAATATCCATATTTATGAAAGGCATTGAATGAATATTAAATCTTTCCATGAAATACATGATTAAAATTATACACTAGTTAACACTTGGGTTTTCCTAATAAAATCTAAATAGAAGAATTTTCCTCTGTGAAGATATTTTCTTCTATTGTTGAAATTTTGCTTTATTCTATCTGTATGCAATTAAGTTCTCAGAGGTTTCATACCAAAAATATCACAAATGTAAAAATTCAGATTTGACATGTAAGCCTGTCAAAATGATGAGAACAAGCAATATGGATTCCTAGCCCTAAATTCAGATTTGAAACGGAAGCACAAACATGACCTACATTCTTTTAATTGGCAAGATATCAACAGAGAAAAACTGCCATAACTGCTTAAATTTGTAACCTTCTAAAGCAAGCAGCTCTGAACTGCATCTAACAGAGAGACTGGCTGTTGCAGACATGAAACTATTTTTGGGGTGGAAAGGAGTCAACTTTTATTAAGAGGGCAAGTAACTGAGATATTGTTCACTAAAAATCTTAGTTTCTAAAATTATCTTGATAGTTGCATTCTTCTTCTTTTATTTTAGAGTTTCAAGCATAAGTGAATCTTCTACGTTGTAAATGATATTAAGCTTGTGGTCATTGTAGTAAGTCTCTATGTTTCAGTCTTGGTTTTCTCTAATTTTAACCATGACAATTTTATGACAATAAAAATTGAAAAATTTGGTGGAAGGGGGGATTAAAAATAAACACTGAATTTTAAAAGACAAAACTGATAGCCAATTGCATATAAAAAATTCTAGAAAAATTACACAAATGAAATTTATTGGAATGTATTTACAGTAACTTGTTTTGCCTTTGTTTAATCCTCCGAGCTTTACGGGTTTAGCGCTGAAATTTCAAAGTTCCTCAAAATGTTATGAATAAGTGATAATTTTTTTGTTATTTTTATTTTAATTAAATTACTCTTTCATTTTGTACCTTGATTCCTTTTCTTCCAATATACATCCAAACCGAAATCAGACAATGAAAAGTTAGCAGAAATTTTTATGTTTAATGAATATAGAAGGCAGCCTTCTTTACGGAATTTTCCGGCCGTAATGCTGAGAGGGTTAAAAAAAAACAGACTTTGAAAACTGTGCTTTAACCAAAGTTTATTTAGATTTAACAATCAAGTTATGTTGAATATGCTAAAACAACATCAAGGAACAAGTTGAACAAGGATTTTAGATGATGGTAACAATTAGTTGCTTCAGTTATTAGCAGTAAATTTAAGCTCATAAAATGTAGGCTACTTTAGTTATTAACAGTAAATTTATAAAAACTAAGATATCTAAATACAGAAAAAGTCCCAATACAGTTGCTTACCTCCCAGATAAAGATATGTTATAATAGCCAAATAAAGTGGTCCAATGATTAGAATGAAGAGATTGCCACAAATTCAAATTATGGTGTTTTAAGCGCAGTTCAACATTTTTTGAGAATTCCTTTACAATCTGTTCACTGCAATTCCACTGCTTTGGTCCAATTGTATCACTCACTGCTGTAACAGTTGCATTGGGTTTAGCTGAGATACTCGAGAGCAAAGGATTGATAACTGAAATATAAAATGATATAAACAAAAACAGCAATTAAAATTAATTAACCATACATATATTGTTGTTAAATAATAAGCAAGATTTTTAATACAAAGTAAAACTTTACTTATCCAAGCTCCAGATAAACAAATTACTTTACTAAACCATGAAAAATGAACTTTTACTTTCTTGTTAATTTAATGTTAATAAAACTAATACACATGTTAATAATATTAATACACATGATAATAATATTAATACACTGTTAACTTTATAGTGGTGTATTACTAAAATAACATATTATTCATTAATATAATCTGAACAGAAAAAGACAATGAATTTTGTTTTGGAAAATTAAAATAATTCCTTAGAATAGAAATAATAAAACTAAGATTGTATGTTTAGTCTTACGGCTTGTGTAAACAAAAATTAATTTAATTATTTTAGTTGACACACAAATGGGTTGTGTAGTCAGATAAATAAAAGATAATTGGGAAAAATTTCTTGGGGAAAAATGTGTTTTTATTTTGTTTTGAGGCACATAAAAATATTTTACTCTGTTGAAAATATGTGTCATAGAAACAAAATTCCCTTACTAGCATTATAATAAATATGCACTACTTCATTTAGACAAAAATGACACTCAAATTATTTACTTTTTTTCTTAACAACAGCTGGCTGGGCCATGGTCCCAAATACTCCAGATATTTTGATTTCTACTTTAAAGATGCCATTTAAAAATGCAAAAAGGAAGATAAAGAATTAAAATACCTTGATTAGTAACCAATGTTGAGCTCCCAGTATACTTTTCTACAATACCAGAACTATAAACAAGTAGAAAAATCCACATAACTAGACAAACCTGAAAAATTCATTCATTCATAAGTAAAACAGTAAATTTACAGGTCAAGGCATGATGTATATAAAATAACTTACTAACATCATTAGATGCTAAATTTTATTTTAAATGATAAGGTAATATTCTCGTAAAATACACTTGCATTACATAAAAAATAATTAAAAAAAAAATCTTCAAATAATGTTTCGGACAAGAAAAGATATAGTTGAGGAAAACATTTTTTGATTTTTCACAAAATAAAAATGAATGTATGCTTCACGCATGACAAGTAACTGAAATCATTAAAACACCAAAGGAAAGATATCATCCTTTCTCTCCTCCCCTCCAGTTTAAAAAAAAAGAAAAAAAGATTTTAATCATGAAAAAAAAAAATCTTAAAAGCTTTCAGATTTTATATTAAGTCCAAAGGGACTTTTTTAGCATTTTGTGTGTTACCTTTATTTATTAAATATCACGTTATTTGCACTTAAACCATAAAATTCAATAGCAGTATCACAAAAAGAGCATATCTTTAGAATTTCTGACACAGAGTCTTGCAGGCTGAAGATAAAAATGCTTTTCTTCCGTACAGTGTTGCTACTGCTTGCTTTGAAATAATTGAGTTTCTTAATCAAAAACTCATAAATGCTTTACAAAATATGAAATAGCTAATAAAACTAATTTCAAATTTGGGCTTCCAGATGCCCATATTTGGATGGAGATGCATATTATTCAAAATTTGATGCTCTAGGTACCATTGTTTTATCATAATGCGAGAAACATACATACATTTATGCAAGGTCTGACATTATTTAATTTCTTTAAATATGATACAGGGTTCTAATATTTGGTGGCAACAATTTAAAAAGTGATTTGCCATTTAAAGCAAATCAACACAAAACGACAAAATGAACTTAATAGCCCTTCTGGGCCCTCTAGCACTTTGGGCTAATAAACTTGAGTGGATGAATAAAAAGTATTTTATTAATGACTGAAAATTTGAACAAAATATAGGGAGAGTGTGAGCTAATAGTAGGAATTTAATAATGAAGCTATTAATATCATGACAAGAATTTGCAGCATTTTATGAGAGATGTTTTTCTTGCATTAAGCAATAAGAAAACAGTTTTGATGGAGCAGATTCTTTTATTTGGATAAACAACAATGAATTAACATGGTCTGAAAAAGCTGATCCACGTTTACTCTACTATTTGTGACATTTTAATTCTTTCAACTGACGTTTTGAGAGAAAGAATTAAACTGTCATAAATAATACAATAAACAATGACCAACTTTTTGATAATGTATTGATTGCAAAAACTTTTCAACTAATCGTGAAATTTGAAAACGTTGTGAAGAAAAATGGATATAACTTTTCAGTCATTTTAAATAAAAAAAACGCTTCATCGCTCAATCTTTTTCAAATAGTAGAATACATTTTTACATTTGAGGCACATCGGTACTAGTAGAAACAGCATTCTCAATAATGAATATTGTAAGGTTTTAAGAAAGAGGTAGAATGCCTGAATAAACCATAAATGCTTCACTAAGCAGAAAATTAACCATGAATTAAACTGCAGTGAACTTTTTATAAAAAGATTAAAAACAATCATGAAAAGCATTAACAAAGAATTTTTAAAGAAAGTTTACCACTAGTGATAAATACTAAAGTTCCTAATAATAAGGCACATTCAGCTGAGTGATTAAAAATTTCTTTTAACTCATTGTTGTTTATTATTAACAAATTCTTTATTTAGCCTTTCAATCATAGGTACTTATCCTAGTAGGTTTTATTTTTTGTTATGAGTATTTCTCAAAATTGTCCCAGTCTGAGCAAACTGCATCAAGGTAAGCCTACTTCTATGCATTCCAGGGCATCTTTGCCACTGAGCACATTTTTTGCCTCACCAGTTTCTATTTCAAGAATTTCTTAAGACTTCTTTTCATCATCTTCATAACGCTCATTTTTCTTTTTACAATATTTCGTTTTCAAACTTACTTCTCCTTTATTTAAATTTTTATCACTGTGATGTACAGTTAAATTCCATTTTGAAAGTTTGAATGAAACAGCAAATGAAAGCTTGATCCCTTCATTAATTTGATTCTGTTATCATCAAGCTCTGTAAATTAATTTTGAAAAATCCCAACTTTTGAAAATATTTCTGAGCTTCTTGCAGCTTCTTTAATGTTTAAATGTCTTCGGTTTAGCTTGCTCCTGATCATCGAGACAAATGGAAATTTTCGATAAAATATGGAACCCAATGCTATATTGAATACCTGAATTATTCTTTATATAAATGTCAGCCAAATGATATAGCATTTAGAAGTCATTTTTTTCCATTATTTACTTTCTTTCAGTTGCCCATCCTGCCCCCCCCCAAAAAAATCCAATGCATGTATTTCTAATAAAAAAATCATTTTGAAGGTTTTTTTTTATAAACTAACTTTTTTTGCAGCATCAATTAAATTCCCTTCTTCCTTTAACACATATCTTTTGTTTGTAGATGTTACATTAAAATAAACAAACTACAAATTAGATAAAATAATTTTTTAGATAAAATAACACACTGTATAACAATTATTGAAAATACTAAGGCAGTAAGAATACAACACAATTTTCATAAATATGCAGAACTAATTTCAAAGGTTCGCTTTAGAACCATCTTCTTCGCAATGGTGAAGCCTTTGCTTATGTAATAGCAATACACCAAAAAATTTGAGAAAGTACTACTTCTATAGGTAGCATAAATATAATAAAATTTGCTCAAACTGCAATATCCACAGTATGCATTTGTTATATCTATTAAAAGCAAACCCCGCAGTTCCAACATTCATCCATCAATAGTGCATTTTGTGCAGTATTTAGACTTTAAATCTCATTTTTTTTTAACAGGTGGGGGTCGGTTCTCACATTTGATTGCTGACACTATCAATTGTAGTGTATTGCCTTAGTATTTTCAGTAATTGTTAGACAGTGTGTTACGTTGACTAACATATAATTTATAGTTTGATTATTTTAATGCAACAACTTATAAGGTATTTCTCCTGCTTTCCAAGCGTGCCTTCATGATGTAGTGGTTCTGCACGCAGGGCTGTTACTCCAGAGGTCCGTGGTTCAATTCCCGGCGAAGGCAGTTGCTAAATTTTCATCTCTCTTTCTTCCAAAAAGATCCCAATGTCTCTACAAACGAAGCTAAAATCAAAAGCTTCATGTTAAAGATTATCAACCCTATATACCAACTTAAAATTTCATATATTTCCATAACATTCAAAATTTGGTATGTAAATTTCAAATATGTAATTTTTAATCAATTTTGTTAAAAAATTGAACAGTTGCATAGTTAAGGAAAGAAAATGCCAGTTGCTCTGCTTATTCTTTTAATAGAACTTTTTAAAATTTTCTGGTTTATTATTAAGTCATGAGCACCTGCAGCTGAAGAATATTCTATATTCAAACCTTCAAAACTAGTCATGCAAATTCACTGTTAACAAATTTAGTTAAAGGAAAGGAATATGATGTATTCCATGTGCTCTGGTATATGATATATTTGGCAAAGTGTAACCTCAATGCTGGAGAAATGGTTGAGAATACATATTCTCAATGTCTTCAGGAATACTTTTGGAAATTCACTTCTGTATTAATTTGTACTATCCCCATTTTGAAATCTCTTTTATGAATTCATATTGCTTAGAAGTCCTAACTTTATCACCTGAATTTCAAACATGCTAAACAAAACAAAACAAAAAATACATCATAAAAAAACAGATGTTTCTTTCAATTTGTTTCTTCTAAACTTTTGTCTAAAAGCAGAAGATCTGTAAGAAAATTTTTCAATCAGCATTTCTCAGTCTGCTATTGATAATGTCAGCTATCAGAGATGAAAAATACTGATACCTCATTTCAAGAGTTTAGGGATTGAGAAGATAATTGTTAAAAAGTTGAGTTCACTACTTGCCTGCTTATGAAAGTTTGACTGTATTTAAATCCAGAATTAGGTTCCCAAAAAAATGTACTTTTGAAATGCACTTAAAAAAAAATTACAAAAACTTTACCATCAGACCTCGTTGCACCATTCTTGTTCTGGCCCAAAAATAAATAAATTTCATCCTTTTAGGCAACTTTACAAGCATGGGAGTAGCAGGAGGTGCAAATATTTTGGTCGATTGATTAGTTGACTTCAAAGAACATCTAGTATAATTGCTGTTGATAGGAACTAGTCTAGAGAGAAAAAATTAATTGTATAAAATATAATATTACAGAAATTGACAGACAGATGAAATATAAATGACAGACTTGAAAATTAATTGCATACAATATAACATGACAGAAATATTAAAATTTCATTTTGAAAATAAAAGAAAATATAAGAAGACTGGGGATACACTATGGCAGCATGTATATATCAATGATAAAGTTTTGTTTAAACAAAACAAGGTAATATTTAATACCTCAAAACAAAACCTTAACTGTTTATGTTCTGCTTTCAAGTCCTAAGCTCTACCAGCATACAAAACACCTACTCTTAAACATAAAGCTCTCCAAGTACTAATGCTTGTAAAATTATTGCAGTGCTTGTACAACATTTATTTAACCTCTTCAGGACAGGCGTATCATATATGCATTAGTAGCGAGATGGCTTGCCGCTTAGCGCAACTCATCTTGGAGACACTGCATTGCACCAGTGCATCACCTCGCTGCTAGTGACATCTGGAACTGATGTATATATGACACACCTGTATGCAGAGGGTTTTTAGTACAGCAACATGCCATCACAAAGGGGTTAAAACTTAACTATACCCCCTAATTAACTGAAAATCAAGATCATTACAAGCTTCATTACAGGAATTCATTATCCTAGACAAGACAGGGATGGTCTTGACAAGGTACAGCAAAAATCAATTAATTGTAACTAAGCTCTCAAAAAGGCTTCATAAAATGAATGTCAAGTAATGTTCATTTTATTGCAGATATTACTTAAATGTTTATTAAATTAATTTTATTGCAGATATTACTTAAATGTTTATTATGTCACTTAAATGTTGTTAATGTTAACTTCAAAATTGTAATGATTGCTTGTACACACTTGATATAAAATAATTGATTATACAAGTTCTGAAATACTGCATAGCACAGAAATACTATTTACCTGTTTATATCCGTTACATAATTATACAATATAAAACAACAAGAATTAACTACAATTATTTCTAATCATAACTGTAATTAATTTCAAATTTAACTGCATTAAAAAGATATGCAACAGAAAACAAGCTTATCAGACATTGTAGCTATTTACCTGCCAAATTACATTTCAATCAAGACATGACCACCATTTTTTTAATACTGCATTACTAACAATCAAGACATTTGAACATTTTTTTTTTTTTAAATTTTTCCACTGCATTACTAATTTATTACAGATACAATGTAATTATTATGAAAGGAAAACTTTTGTATTTTTGAAATGAGAGACTGATATTTGAAAAGACATACATATATACTTTTGTTTTCTATTTTAACATATAAAAACTTCTGTTCTTTCTTTTGCAAGACTTTCATCTGAGGAAAATATTCCCATTTCAGTTTACTTGATTGGTCTAACAATATATTTGTATAATATGAAAGGTAGGGGGGAAAGCTCATTTTTAGAACGGTTTCTTTATCAAACAGTTTTTTAAATTTTATTGTAAAAAAAATTACCACATAATTTTATTCATAGTATGTAATTTATAAAATTAGGTAAAATTAAACCTTTTATAAAATGAACATTAAGTTGGTTTTAGAGAAAAACCTTTTATCATATTTGAAGAAAAAGCAAAGTATTCTTTGAAATCAATATTTTTCTGATAAAACTCACATCAATCTAATAATTATTTTTGCCTACTTTTATATTTGATACTAGCAAGTTTCTCTTTCACATATATTTTAACAATAAAAGAAAATTTTTCTTTAGTCTTAACACACACACACACACACCATCACACACCCACACATAAAAAAAAAAAAAAAAAAAAAAAGAGGGTTAAGAAATAAAAACATGCTACATAAGTTATGCCGTAGCTTTCCTTTCATGATTTTGGAAACCACACATCTACAGCTACGTTTATTTTTTTAATAAGTTTATTTATACATTTTATAATAAAAAAATGTCATCGAACAATATCTAAAATGCTTATAATCATTTATTTGAAATGAAAACAAATATTAAAATATTTTTTTTAAAATTGTTTTACCGGGGTTGGGAACTTTGATCATTATGTAGTTTCTCATTTCGAAAATTGCGAATATTGGCCACTTCACGAATGCAGTTCCTTTGCAGATCTGTAATCTGTAATAAGATTTTAATATATTTAGGATTATTAGGAGAAAAGGATTTTAATCTACTATACAATATTACCTAAATTTTTCATTATCAAATTCTACAAAAATAATAACACAAAGCTTGGTTAACTTCACTGTTTTACAACTGCTATGAAACAGAGCCATTTTCTGGAGAATTTTCTGGAGGGGATATTGTCCCATTCATCAATCAAGGTGATTTTGAGCTCTTGCAAAGTTCAGGGAGGATGAAGCAACATGTTTATTGAAAATGTCCCAATATTATAAGGAATGTTTAAGATTTAAGTTCAATGAATATGTAAACCATTCATGATATTTCCTTTAAAACAATGATTTACAAAGTGGACAGTATCAACACCCCATAGGCACTGAAGTGGTCTATGAAGGTGACTCCAGATGATATTGGGAAGCACCATACAGTAATAAGTATGCATTGAAAAAAATCAAGAACATATTATTCACAGTTGACAAGTTTAACCATTACAAGATTCGTTTGTTGTCCCGAGTTATTACCTGATGTTGTCAAAAGCTATACGATAACGAGTGATAAACATCAAATGCAGAGGCTTAAACTGAAAAACACTGGCTCTGCATGTATATTTGAATCAAAGTTTGCAGTTGCACAAGCTGCAATGAAGTTACTAATAAAAAGTACACAATTTTAATGAATGACTAACTTTTTATTTGAAAAATTACAGATAACTAATTCATTTTAGTGTGTGCATCTTCTGCACATCTTTAAGCATGGCTGTTTCAATCACAAGGTCTCTCACATCTCTCACTGATAACAATTTTGGTAGCACAGCAACGATGTTACAAAAGACAGTACCTTCAATTATTGCATTAACATGTATTGTCATCAATGGCATGCATATCCTTAAAGTTTGAAGCTCTTACAATAGTTAGAAGTACTGAAAATTGATATAAAAATTTAACGACATGAAAATAAAGTGAATAAAAATGTTTAAGCAACTACTGAAGGAACACTGTATTTTATACAGGGTGTCTCAGAAGGTCGTTGTCAAACTTAATATGCCAGTCTGTTACGCCATATGCCATGACAAATAAGATTTATGTAACAACTTGTGTCCGAAAATGAGAATGGGATATGCAAGAGGTAAATGTTCACAAGTGTAGAGGAAAAGAAAGAAAGGATGTCGAAAGAGGTGTTAACATGACTCTATTACAGAACATGGTTAAATCAAAGAAGATGATAAAAATTCCTTCCATTCTCCACAACATCAATACATGAATTCATATCCATTCAAAATGGGCAGGTATATCATTGACACATGCTGCCGCTTCCACAATCCTGGTGATGAGATATGTGTCCAATGTTACGGTCTCGTACACCATGGAATTCATGTATCCCCAGGTTTTTACTGGAGTAATGCAAAGGATGATGCGCAAATGTGGTGCTAATCTTGTGACGCCTGTGCAAGCCAGAAAGGGCAGAAGAAACACAGCTGAGGAAAGCTGCAACATTGCAATATAGAAGCACCTTTTCAACCTATCGCCTCTGACATCCTGGGACCTCTGCCACAAACTCCTGATAGAAACAATACATCCTCGTTGTGATTGATTACTTCACTAAGTCGCCTGAAGCATATTCTATGGCACCTCTTCAGTTACATTTTGATCAGGGAAGGAATTTTACCTTGGCTGTAATCAAAAACCTTTGCAAGCTTGCAGAGTTTTTTGATCGACATCAACAAAACCCAAACGACGCCTTTACATCTCCAATCAGATGGCATGGTAAGAAAGGTGTAATTGAACCATCCTTAACAACCTCTCATGGGTGGTTTCCAGACCCAACAGGACTGGGAAAAGAAGTTACCACTGTTTTTACTCGCTTACATGAGAACTGTCCACAAGACTACCAGCTATTTCCCATCCCAGATGCTCTTTGGTCGTGACCTTCATCTGCTTGGGATCTTCTGTTTGGTCACCTTCTGGATATGCCTTCACTGCATAAGGAGTACATCCAAGATCTCCAGGTCCAGTTTATAGTGAGGCACACCTTTGCTCGAGAGCGAGCCAACTTAGTGACAGAGAAGATGAAGACCCGATATGACACGAGAGCTACTGGACATCGATTCAACGAAGGAGACAAGGTATGGTTGAGGAGTCCAATTTCATGGAAAGGACTCCTGGTGTTGTAGTTCAGATTATTGAGTCATCGTCGAATTCTAAGCCTAAATTCATTCATTATGACAGACTAGCTTCTTACTCTGCACATAGTATATAGTGTATATAATGTAAACAGTATAAGACCATGATCTTTTTTGTTTCTAAATTTGTAAATTTGTGCACTCATTTACTGATTTATTATTTGATTTGTTTTGTGTTACTAATCACAATTATTGTTTATGTTGTTTGTGATTGTATTGCAACGTGTATCATTGCATTGATGCTTTAGTTGTAAGCATGGCTTCCTGCAAGGAATAGTACTGCTTGGGATGTGCAATCCTTGGGAAGAGGGCAGTGTTATGAATTTTGTATTTAGATAGGTAATTTTAGTAGAATTGTAATTAAAACTGTTTTATTTCCATGCGCAGTGCAGCGCATGATAAATTTTAAGAAAAAACTATGCCGAAAAAGTAAAAATATAAGAGTATGTACATTTAACATTGAATAAAAGTTTATTTCGGTAATTTATATTTAATTTAAATAAATGTAATTGCTATGTTAGCTGTAATCATAATTCTACTCTTTTGGTTTCCAGAAATCTCGAAATGCAGAAATTACTAGAATCTCTTGTAACCAATTTAAATTTAAACCAATTTAATTTATTTTAATAAAATATCAGACATAGAAAATCTTATCTCAATTGCTGTTAAGTGCAGTTGTTATTATTGATCGGATTAGCTTTATCTGAGCTCTGGATTGCATTCTATTTGACGTTTTAGTAGCTTGAAGGATAACTGCTGATTATTACTACATAGTATTTTGAACACTTGTACGAAACTCTGAGAAAAATGCCAATATTCTCTTATATTTCTTTTGATAAGGATAAATTTTATTAACATTTTGATTACATAATAACATATTAATAATGCTTAAGTTTAAACTTAATGCATAAAATCTGCAAATAGTATAAATAATGTTCATAATTTGGAGAAACCTGAGGTATCTCACCTCCATTCTTCGAATATCAACAGAGAGAAAAGTTGCAAAAAATAGCAACTGCAGAAAAAAGTCTGTAAGAAGCCCAACAACAGCAAACAAGCAAAATTCCTAGAGAAGAGAAAAGAATACAAATAAAAAAATTTAATTATTTTATTGACGTCTTAAACTGAGAAAGAGATTTTCCTACTATTTAAGCTACTGAATAAATGTCAAATATAACTACATATAATATTTAATTATTTACAGTTCAAAACAGTGGCTGTGAGTTTTATTTCCCCAAATATTAATCATAAAATTAAACTTCCAAAGCATCCTAGGCTAAGATAGGTGTGGTGTATTGAGAATACGGCAAAGCACACTGCCTTCGTGGAGGACTTTCTAAGGGGAACGGGCTCGTATACACATTACACATGGGGAAAACCATGAAAGCGCCCATGTAGCCCGTTCGCAGGATTTGAACTGAACTACCAGTGTTCAGCAATTTTACCACTCGGTCGCTGATGGGCCTAGGCTAAGATAGAAAGGTTTCTGAAAACTGTTTTAACACTATGAATAAGATAATTCTAAAAATGTAAAATCCAACTTTTCATATGTTTCTATACAGAAAAGGTCTAATTAGCATAACATGCTTTTAGATTTAAAAGTTAATTACAAAAAAAAAAAAAAAAATGCTACACCTTTATGGACAAAGTTCGTGTTCTCACAAGGGCATCTAGAAACTTAACAAGTGTTCTTTTGTTCTTTTGCTTAATAAAGAATAATTACTTTGATTGCAACTTTACTTTTGTAATTGATATTTAAATATGATTTGAATAATCATAAATTTCATTTGGTAGTTATTACTAAAGAATAACTTAAGTCATTGAACCTTTTCTTTAATACCTTAGCAAATTTCGAATACAAATGTGTGACACCTTTAACATTTAATTAATTTAACTACTGAATATTTTACTCACTGGAATTTTGATATTCAATTTATTAATTAAGTGACAACAAAAAAAATCAACATTTTATATTTACAGAAGCCTCTCTCAATACCATATCAGAATTGTTTTCATAAAAATTTCTTCTATATTTCATGAAATTCTGTTTTGGAATGATACACAGGATCAAGATTTGCACAAATAAAGTTTGCAACCACACTTTTAAATACCTTGTATAATTATGCACAGAAGAAACTATAAGTTCACCATAACATTCATACCCCCTACCACTCTCTCCCAGGCTGTTGTTGTTGTTTACTTTCTTTATGTATATTTTTTTTAATATATATAACTTTTGGTTTATTAAAGGGGAAAAGTCAATAAATAAAATTCATTGCAATAAAAGGACATCAGATTTCTTCCAAACTAACAGCAAAATCTAAATTAAAGATCAGCACTTATTTTTATGAGTGAGACACAAAAAGATGAATTTCAGATTGAATAAAATTAATTAAAAGTTCTTTTATAAGGGGAGGGGAAAACATGTTGAAGAGCAAATTTCATTTTCAAAAATTAATTTCAGAAAGTACTAATTACAACACACTAAAATAAAGAAGATTTATACATTTCTTCCTGAATTTTCTAAAATTCTTAAAATTATGCATATTTTAAAACTAAGAATATCTCAGCGAAATAATTTATCTTAGTATTTATATCACTTTTTTCCCTCTGTACAAAGAAATTCCTGCAGCATAACTTGTTTATAACTCTCCAATATAAGCCATTAAAATAAACTGCAATTCAGTTATGAATTTCAAAGCAAATTTTACCATTTTGAAGTTTTTAAACTTATACACATAATAAAACTACAAATACATAAGCAAATTTGGAACAATTGGATTCTAATTTGTGGGATTTCATTAGCAGTTTATTTTATCTTGGAAGCAACCCACGCTTTCTTGCTGAATGAGATTTTAGTTTTACACACGATGCAAACTAGGGTAGAAAGCTACTATTTAAACTGGTGTCTGAGTTACATCAGACAGAGCCCATAATAGCATATTGAGACCTTGTTCTGCCTTTCAGCCATGATGTTTCTCTGCTAGTTAAGCTTTCTATTTTATGGCTGTGCATATTAACTGCCAGTTAGCCTATGTTGGTATTAGCTTAAAGCCAACTACGCCTTAAATTATCTCTGTGTAGCTTAGCTTTGGTTGATTTATTCAACTTAGGATTAGCTTTAATTTCATTTTTTCTATTTTGAATTTCCACTAAAAGTATTGGCAAGGCCTTGTACACACCAGTGTGCCATCTGTTCGTATTACTCTTGAACTGAAATAAAAGGGTCTTTCACCCTTCTTATGTGTTGTTACTGATACCATTTGAACTTAGCTAATAGTTGCTTTACAGTTCAAGTTAAGATCTAGCCTTCCAAATTTTAAATTAGCTAGAATTTTATAAATTTATTAATGCTAATGTTTGAAAAATCCAGATTAGGCAAATAATTAACTATACAGTCACTCATCTATTTGCTTTAACAAACTCGAAGAATCCCACAAAAATTTCGCTAAATGGTCGCAAAATAGAAGTTGTGATAAAATACAATTTTTTTTTTCATTTTAATAATAATAAAAAAAGAAATATAAATGCAAAATTACATTTGTTAATGCATCCATTCCATCAAAGTTATTTACAAAAATTAACATAAATTCATTTTGAAAAGTAATCAGTTACTTTAGTTTGTTTTGATTATCTGAAACGTTTTATAAGTCTCACATCTTTGTAATGCACAAAAAATGTCTTCTGATACACTTTTTTCAAACTGAAACCTGCATTTTTGCTGGCAGAGATTTTGTACATTTATTTCAATTAATGTTTTTATCATCTTCTTCACCATCAATTCAGCTGTTATTCCTTTACGCTCTCCAATATGTTCTCTCCAGTAAGAATTCCTAAGGTCTCAACATCATTATCTATAAATAAATCTTGTAATAATTCATTATTTTTTAATTAGCCTTGACTTTTCATTTGCAGCTACATATTATTCAGTTCTCCATCATCACTGAAACTACTTTCATCAGTAGCATTCATCTTGGTGACAAAATTTCTGAAGCAACTGGGAAAAGAATTTTCAATGACATCATAATTCCATACACTGCAAGTTCAGATATGTGGCCATGTAAACAAATTAGATACAAAGGCCGATTAATTTAAATTCCATTATATCCTTCTTTAAATTTCTTTTGTGATAATGTGTCTTACCACTATTTATCAACCCTCTATCCACAGGCAACAGTTTCACAGTGGTTTTTGGAAAAAAGGAAAAATAATATTTTTATTTTCGTCTCTGATATCTTGAAGGTAAGCATTGCAACTGTCTATGACTATAGTCATTTTTCGTTTTTATACAGCCATGTATTTGTACTAATTTTTAGCCACTTTTTTAGCCATGTATTTATACAAATTTTTTAGCCACAAAAATGTAAAGGTAAATAGAGGGGAAAAGAAAAAGCAGATTTTGTAACTGAATGTGTGCGTAGAAATAGCACATTGTGGTGGTAGATTAAAAAGTTTGGTTTATTGGTTTCAGTATAGCACTTTTTAAATGGTAGATTAAAAAGTGATATACTGAAACTCCCCTAGCAGATTTTGAGAGATATGCATCCCTATGTGAAAGCACAGGTCGCTGACATACATTTCACCTATGGCCTGTGGAACGGCAACACAGCAGCTGCTCAAAGGAGGTACTCTAGAATAATTCTCTGTACTTCCTTCAAGTAGCTGCTCCATTTTGAGCACTGCCTCATGGATAAAATGCAAGGTGCCAAGTTCTGTGTTCATGTGGTACTGTATACTCCACAAAATCCACTCAGGGGGTGATGATTTACACTGAAGAGCCAAAATATTATGACCACCAGCTCAAGAATGCATTGTGCAACCTTTGGCCTGCCAAACAGCTGCAATCACCTTGACATGGATACCACAAGTTCTTGGTAGATGACTGGAGACAGATTGTGCCAAATCCCTGAGCTGTAGTCATGCAGTTGAAATAATTGGACATGGTGATGTTTGAGCTCTGAGCTGTGAAGGGAGTTGTATTTATACTTTAAATAAGAAATTTAAATGTCTATTGGAAATTAAGTGTCTTTTATATTTTTACATATTTATATATATATGTAATAGTATCGAATTGTTGAAGGTAGATAAGAATTTAGATACACTGAAATTAAGGAATGAAAAAAAAAAAAAAAACACAATCGAAGAAGTTTTAAATATTCTTTTTTATTTTAGCTGACCAAACAAATACATTGGTTGTTACACACAGGCCTCTTTAAGAACTTTTTTAACTCTTTGAAAAAGTTCCACTGTGGCCAAAGTGACTGCCACTAGACTAAAGTGACTGCCACTGTGGCCACTAGACTACTGCTGGCCAAAGTGGTCTAGCTTAAGCTGAAGAACAGAAAGCAAGTATGTCATAAATACAAAGGCCTGACTGAAAAGGTTTTTTTTTTTTTTTTTTTTTTTTTTTACAATTTTGAGTTTCAGTTTCAAATTAACTGCATCATACAGCATTATATATAGAATGGAAAAGGGGGAAATACCCAAATTAGAATACAGAGGTTAGGAGCTATTGTAAATTAAAATCAGTATTTTACTTTAGAACATATTTTTATGTTATGTACACATATAGAGAGATATATGTATATATGTAAATATACACACACATATATATTATGTACATCATGAATTAATACAAATTTTATGAAAACAACACTCTGAGATACTAACCGTAACTGATAAATACTTACTGTCAATGATGGTTGAATTACACTGCATTTTTTACTTTTTATTTTCATTTACTTATATTTTTGTTTGTTTGTTTACTTTGCACAAACAAAATATTTTATAAATCAATATAACTGCTACATATTTTAATAACTATTATTATCATGTTATATCAAATATTTGCTCTGACAACAACATTTAGTATTACTCACTTGAATTTTGGGAACAAATGTGAGAAAAGCTACCATTAGAAGAGCAAGTTCTGTAAGCAAATTCTTTGTAATAGACCATCCTTCTTTACTTAAACCTATAAAAAATTTTTAATTAAATAACCAGTTACTTTGCTAAAAAAACCAAGCACAGGAAAATCTGCCAGAAATTCAAAACTTTCCTTTTCTGTTAATCAACAGTGTATATATATACAGGGAGTTCAAAGATAGATGCTACAGTGAAAGGGTTTATTTCCTTAAATATTGGTCCCCAGACATAGATTTACCCATTATAAGATTTCTCAAAGTGAGACACAGAATTTTAGAACAGTTTCAACACTTGTTAAGGGGCAGTTTTGTAAGTTTACAAACTACCTGTCGACATAAGCTCCACAAAGCAAAAGTCCTAATTAGTAGCATGTGCATTATGCCTTAACCTTCTGAGCGTTATGGGTTTAGCCTTGAAAGTTCACAGTTCCTCAAAATGTCTTGAATAAGTGATATTTTCTTGATTTTAATTAAAAAATGACTCTTTCATTTTGTACCTTGATTCTTTTTCTTCCAATATACATCCAAACTGAAATCAGATACATTAAAAGCTAGCAGAAATTTTCATGTATAATGAATGTGGAAGGCAACCTTCTGTACGGAATTTTCCGGCCTTAACGCTGAGAGGGTTAATGAGTTAAAATGAAAAGTTCTGACCTTTTAGCATAATGAAGTCATTGAAATATCAAGAAGGAATTAAGTCCCTTTTTATATGCTCAGCACTCAAAAAATTAAACACCAATTTTTAAAGATTTAGGGAACAGTTATAATACAAATGCTTTTAATATCAGTGATTAATAATGCCAAACTAGATAAAGCATACTGATTCTGCCTATTTAAAATATAATTTTGTGTTTAATTAATAATACACACATGTTTATACATTCTTTAGAACAATTTCTATAAAGAATTAAAAAAAAAAAAAAAAGCAAATGCCTTGGAATAAAAATTTTTGGCAACTCATTATTTTAAATGAGAAATGTCATATGCTAATTTTAAATTTAATCTTCTTTCAAAATTTCTCATGTAAACAAGCTGCAGATTGAAGGATATGTTTCTTTCATTTTCCATACAGAAATACTCCTATTCTATAATTAAAAAATGTTGTTAAATGCATGATATTAAAATTTCTAACAGCAAATAAAGCAACATTATTAAGCAGAAAAGGAAAAACCATCAGTCATTGCTTCTACATGACAGGAAGACTTAAAATACACAAAAGAGATATGTACCATTTCTAATGCTGCTAAAGTTAAATCATTGCTAACAACAGAAAATCTGCCGATGCAGAATTATATTCCAAGGTCTTTAAATGCATCTGTAGCAACAATAAATAAACCAAGATTTACAACTTCATAAAGCTAAAAAATATGATGTTCCCCAGCTTTTGTCAAGGTTGTGGTTCAATGCAGAACAATTTGTAGTATGAAAAACTATTTAGTAGGAGATAAATGGAAATGCATAATGATCCTTGATGAAGCATGTGCTTACCTAAATGACTTCAACAAGAAAAAGTATACTTATTATCAAAAATGAACAGAAAAAAAAATGTACAAAGCTAGTTCCATGAATGCAAAAACAGTTTCAGTAAAAGGTTCATGATTGTTGCATGATTCCTTTACAATGGGATATTAAAAATAAGAATAGCAAAAAATAAATAAATAAATAAAATCAACTTTACTACCCAAAAAAAAAAAGTTTTATTATCTCACATTTATGGGAGGAATTCCATTTCTTCATCCCAATGACTTTTGAAGAGTGAAACATCAGCAAGACAGAGCAACAAGTCATACTTCAAAAAGTACCACAGCATTGTTTAAAAAAAAAAGGAAATTTGATACATGTATTGGATATATACTTTTATAACATATTCCAGCAAAGTTCCCTGATGTTTCACCAATAGAGAGTTCTGCATTTAGACTGTTGAAAAGAGCTCTTTATAAGTGGAAAGTCTGGAAAGTAGTAGAAAAGGAATGGAAATCAACACCCCTTGGAAATTTCATGAGAAGTTCTTCTGTCGTGGAAATCATGATGTAGCTGCATAGTCCAAAAGAAAGAGAAGGGTTTCGGATCAAACATCCAAAAAAAAAAAAAAAAAAAATCTTCACATTTTAAATAAAATTAATTAAATTGTAAATATTCTAAAAATGCATATACACCCTCTGTATGTAACTGAATATTTTCAGAATAGATTTTCTGTTTTATGGGAACTACATAAATTTTATAAATTCTTCCCATCTTAATGTTAAAGCTGTTTTCATAAAATTATTTTTAAAAAAACTCTGTAAATGGAGGATCAGTACTTTTCAGAATCATTTTATAAATGGAGGACCACCATATTGCCTAACTCATATTTTTCAATCATTACTGTAACTCTGAATGAGCATTAAATCACATATATTTAGTATCCATTCAATAGACATGTAAATTAAGTGAATATTGGGTAAATAAACTTTTATATTATAATGGTAAAATGTAGTAATAATTACGTTTATTAATTTATCAACATACTGAGATTCTGTACTATTGACAAAGAAAGAAAAAAACCTGCATATTATTCCGAAATATATATACAGTACAACATCCAAGATCCGGATGTCCAATATCTGGACCTCAAAGGCCACTACCAACTTTTTTTTATTTTATTATGTGCAGGCATGAAAGTGCAAGTTGGCAAAAAAAGCTGAACAACGCGCGGACACAGAATTACACAAAAACTAATTGCACGCGTGCAACCTTAAAAAAAAAAAAAAAAAAAAAAACTCATTTTAATAAAATATTAACATTTTAATATAGAAAGTATTAAACATATACATATAATTAAACTAAAATAATACTTGTACTTACTATTTTGCTATTAATTTTATCTTCCACTTGTTAAAAAAAAAAAAAAAATCAATAAATCACCAAGAGATTGTAATGAATTAATCTTTTTTAAGATGCTCTTTATGTAACTTAATTTAACAGTTGATACATGAATACTGTACACAACATTACAACACACTAATATACATATTTATGTTATATATTACTGCCCATTTTCAGGCAATGATAAGTTTTAGAGATAAAATATATATATATATAACTGTTTCTTTTTTTTTTTTTTTTTTAGATTCTTGCTCCTCCTTTTCTATCTCTAGCTCTTCTTTGTACAGTTTATGAGCATTCCTTAAATTTTTATATAGAGTTTTGTGTACTGGAGAATGCAAGTGGTTATCTGTATGTCCGACAGATGGCGCCAGCACCGACCGCTGAAATTATTGAAGTCAGCTCTCGTTTGACGGTTGCTTTAATCACCCAGTTTATTTATTTATCCTTGAAGAAGCCACTTACTGTCCAAGCATCCCAGGCCGGCGTAACGATATTCTGGACTTTTTTCTCTCAACGGATAACATCCCTATTTCACTTGAGGTGCTTGCTGATTTTCCATCAGATCACATTCCTGTTATAGCTAGAATAGGTGGAGCTCCCAAGACAAATCCAACTCCAAAGAAAATAGTGGACTGGAACCTATTTCACAATATCGCTAGTACATTGAAATTCAGTTTAGGCACTCTTAAGATTAAACCTGACACTGACGCTGCAGTAAACATTTTTACCAATAAACTTAAGGAATTCCTACAAAATGCAACTGCAGAAATGGCGAGCAATTACCTGGATGGCACACTTCCTGCATGTATCAGAGTGGTTATTACTCAACAGAACAGACTCCACAAACAGTACAGTAAGGATTAGAATCCGGCTATTAAGACGGACATAAATAGACTCACAAGGCAGATTAAAGCTCTCAACAGCAAGCACCGAAACGAAGTATGGAGTTACAAAATAGATAACTTAAATCTGGATGACGGTTCATTTGGAAGTTCGCTCGGAACCTAAAAAGAGTCTATCACCATTCTCAGCCAATCAAAACAACACACGGTTTTGCATATACCGATCACGAAAAAGCGGACACTTTCGCAAAACATCTAAGCGAGCAGTTCACTCCGAATGTAATTCCGAATAATAGTGGCTCTGATATTGACAACTTTGTTCAAGAATGGCTTGAGATTAGCACACCGAACAATACGATTAGGCTCACTACTCCGTTAGAAATAAAAGATATCGTCAAGCACACCAACTGAAAACAGGCGCCTTTAAGTGATAAAATTACGAACAGAATGATGAAGAACCTGCCCCACTGTCTAATTACCAAGTTGACTAGCATCTACAATGCTTGTTTGATGCATTCATATTTTCCAACCCCGTAGAAGCATGCAAGCATTTTTCTGATACAAAAACCAGGCAAGCCTTCCGATAAGCCGGCCAGTTACAGACCAATTAGCCTCCTGTAGACACTGGGAAAGATTCTCGAAAAAATCATTTACAATAGAATTAAACCTTTCCTCGATATTCTAGCGGATGAACAACATGGCTTTCGAAGAGGCCTATCCACTTCTCATCAGTTAGTCAGAATCACTGAATATATTGGAGCGGCTTTACATAACAAAAATAGTGCAGCAATCCTCATGCTAGACGTGGCAAAAGCATTTGACCGTGTCTGGCATAGAGAACTTATTTTTAAGCTCATCAATTTGAATTTTCCATGGGAAATTATTCTCATCCTCAGCTCATTTTTGAACTCCCGAACTCTTTCCTTGTGGCAAGGAGATTCCAGTTCAAACCTACATCATATTTACCCTGGTGTCCCACAAGGAAGTATCCTTGGACCAATATTTTATATTTTGTACGTAAATGACTTCCCAAAATTCAGTCAAGACCCTAATATTATGTTAGCATGCTACGCGGATGACACCGCCATCATCGCGAAGTCCAGATGACCAAACCACACCTTGGAAAAGATTCAGCAGATATTATTCCTAATATTGAAGCATGGTGTCAACGATGGAAAATTCAAATCAACCCGGAGAAGTCAAAAGTTTTAGTTATCAGAAAATTCAAGACCACAGACCCCCTCACCTGTAATGTTACGCTCTTCGGGAAAACAGTCCCTACTGTAAGTACGGCAAAATACCTAGGAGTCATTTTAAATCGATTGTTTACCTGGAAT